CAGCACTCTCTCGACAAAATACTCGATCGTCATCTCCATCAACGTCGTCATCATCACCATCATCATCGCTGCCGTCGTCATCATCATCGTTGCCCTTTAAGTCGTACGTCGCCGAGACATCTGGTCGGAACGTTACTTCTCTGAGATAGAGGAGGCGATGACCGGAGAAGCGCGTAAGGAAGTTGGCTGAGTTGCTTTCGGTAACTGCGAATTCAGCAAAACCCCCAGAGAGTCTTTCTGCTGCATGGCGGAACTTGCTAGTTAGAGTAAGAACACTGCGCAAGTCCTCTCTAGGTAGAAAGCTAGAGATTCTTTCGATGAGCTCTTGCGGGAGTTCGTTCATGATGGTGTGAGTATGTGATGAGTTGAGTTGAGGTAATGAGTAACGTTTGGTGGTTGGGTGAGTGCGATGCTGAGAAGCGATTGAACTTCTGTGGGAAGACTGTGGAGATGACAATGGGAGATTACTGTACTTGAGGAAGGTGCGCGTGGCAGAGCTCTGGGCTGATTTGCGGCGTAGTCACAACATGCGGCTAATTCGGAACATTCCGAAACATTCCGAAACATTCCGGGCGCTACAGTGGCTCCTTCCTGCCCACCACTTGTCGCATCTATTGTCGTTGAAGTCGCGCGGAGGTAAGAGAGACAGTCGTGATGGTTCATGCTTACAGCAATACATTTGTTTGAATGTTCTACTAGAGAACAGTGATGGACACGTGATAGGCGATAGAAAGGAAAGAGTGGCGAAAGAGCATAATAAGGCGGTTACGACTGCCCAAAATAACAAGCGAGTGAGATAAACAAGGTCATGACTCCAGTACAAAATCTCAGACGAAACATCCCCGAACGCCGCACGTAGTTGCTATCTAAGGACCAGCCCCCAAATCCAACTGCCAAGCAATCATAATCACCAATCAGTACAACCCCTGTCTCATAATGCGCGCTCCTTCTCAGACCCGATCTTAGCCTCCTCCTTGGTCTCATTGATCGGCGCCATCATCATCCATGTCTTTCTCATCCTTTGATTTCCACGGCATTGCCCAGTCTTTGACCTTGTCCCATTCATCTTGTGTCTTCTTGATGAGGGCCAGCATATCTTTCTGTGTCTTTTCCAGCGTGTTTTTCTCGTTCCGTTTCGCCTGAGCATCACCCTTGAAGTTCTTGGGCACTTCGGTCTTCTTCGAGGACTCCCATTCGTCTTTCAGACGGTCGAGATTGACTGTCATGAAGTCTGTCGCTCTCTGCTTTGCCACCGCAAACACATTGTTCATGTACGCGTCCCATTTCTTCTCAAGTCCTTGCTCTTGCCACGGAAGCGCGTCGATCACGTCTTCCTGACTTTTGGGCTTCGTCGCATCCGCAAATTGTCGGGGCGTTTTCTGTAGCTCTCGGTCAATGTATCCGATCATCGCTCCGATTCTGTTTTTCTGGTTTGCGAATATTTCTGCGATGCTGTCTTGTTGCATGTACTTGAGAGCTCAGATCATCGGCCGCATCTTCTGGATCGCCCTGCGTGATTGGTCGTTCACACTCAGTTTGAGCTTTTTGTCACGCCCCTTGATCAGCGCTTTCATTTTTCTCTCAGCAACGATATCTTCGTATTCGCCAGATTTCTTCAATGTCTGTATGAACAGCTGTGAGAAGTATTGTCAATATAAATCTGAATTTCCGCACCGTGTCATGGATGTACGTACCCGTCCCTTGTATCTTGCGTTGATTTCACTTTCCAAGAGTGGCATCTCATCAAGCCACATTTGGTCACCATCTTGTTTCCACGGGTATACACTTGCTAGCCACCCAATTGGACTACGTTGCATGACAGCTGGATCCGGCTTAGGGCTTGAACCCGGCGTAGGACTCAGATTGGGGCTAGGGCTCGGACTGAGACTAGCGCTCGGACTGGGACTAGGACGTGAATTGGGGGTATTGGCCAGACTGGCAGGAGGTCCGTCCATTCGATGGTCTTTCCAAGTCCAGGATTCTCTCCAGTACTCACAAAAGCCGACCATGTTATTTTGCTGAGGATCCGGATTCTTGAACTTGGTCGTGATCTCTTTACCCATCGTATTAAAGAACTGGACAACCGTTTGCCATTCTAGAACGTGCTCAGTATCATATTGGATACCGGCACCCTCATCTGGCTTATCCATACTGTAGTCGTCGCATGAATCGCGTTTGTTGAACCCGTATTTTTTGGGCTTGTCAGCTTCCCACTCCCCACTACTCGGGTAACGGAAACTTTCTAGTGGGTAATCGCAAGCGCTTCCTTCCTTGGGTTTCGCACGCTTCTCGAGGCCAGCATACCTAAGATCGATTGGATAGCTTCGTGAAAGAAGGTCGGCTTCATCTACGACTTCATCTTTGTCTAGCGCTGCCAGATCTTTGCAGGACAAGGAGGAGGTTGCTGCTGAGGGAGAAGACGACAAAGTGGTGGAAACAAGCGTTGTTGACGTGACAGGCGGAGTTGTGGAAGATGTCGGCGAGGAGATCGTAGACGCGGTAAGAGAAGACGTTGCGAAGGTTGAAGAAGTCTTGGGAGAGACAGTCGTTTCCGCCGGTGAGATTTTGCTGCTAAGATGGTCGCTTGCGGTGGTCGGAGCTGGTTTGGCACTAGCCTTGGTCGTATCTCCATCTCCGTTCCCGCCGTTCCTCGTGCAGCGTAGACCTTTGCATCCTTTGCAGCCTTTCGCAGGACATGGTAGGTCATCGTAGTTCATCCCACCCGGGACAAGCTCGTCCGGGGCATCGACCAGAGGAGTAAAGACCTTCTTGATCAATTCTTCCCTGCTTGGTACCGGTGAGTCGCAGCCTGCCTGTCCCGCAAAGTCCGCACCACTGAGGAAGAAGTCGGCCCATTCTTGCGCAGCGTCTTGCGCTTCATGGGCGTACTTGTACGCCTTTGCTGATCGGATAGCAGCCACTACGATCATCTTTTAGCGTCTGCTTAAACAAAAGAGATTATTCTCGCTTACCCATTCCACCTGTGATGGCTCGTCCTGGTGGGGGAAGTGCTGCCATCCCAATGGCCATTACTACGTCGAGGGCCTTCAACGCGGGACAAAGAACCTTTTCAAGGATTTTGCCAGCTTCGGCGAGTCCTTCGATGAAGAATTCACCCGCGAATTCCAGAATTGGGAGATCACAAGCGCAGTGGCCTGACTTAATCATCAAACCTACGTTGAAAGTTAGTCTTGCATTTCTATGTTACATTAGAGGCATATGCCTATAAAGATATACCGTTGTACGTTTTGTCTTCACCGCACAGGAGGGGATGCAATCCACCTAACGGGTACCAGGGGTTGTCACCAAAGATGCAACTTTGAGAAGACACAACAATCTGGCCCTCTGCTGTGCTGTCACCTGGGATGCATACGTTCTTGCACTGCTCCTTCACATCATCCTCAATCCCGTCGGATCTCATGTGGCATCTAGTGTCCGATAGGTATTCGTCCAGCTTCTCCACGACTTTGGGGTCCTTTGTCTCTGCTAAGCCGTATGGATTGGACTGCTCGTATGCGATGAGATCGCAATTTTCCGCAAGAATGCACGCCGTCAGACCGGCCAACAGATCGAGGGAAGCCTTCATGTTGGATCGTGGTACAGCAAAGACACAAATGAATAAAGATGGTAAGGTACAGTTTGGATGGCTGTCTCTTGCGCGTTCAACCCTAGTCCTATATACTCATATCGATTCTGGTCTTGAGTATACTTGGGAGGTACGCCCCCAAGATCTACTATTAGCACGAAGCAGTCTGATACAACCACGCCGTGAGGTCTGGCTATTCGGGGTGTCGACGAGCTGTCATTTTGGACCCGGCAGCCTGTGCCTCTGAGGCTCAGTGAACATTGCCGTTCAAAATTGTGACGGTACATGAGGTATGACGACTGCTGTAAGCTTCCCATTCCTGAAGGAACATCTTAGCCCCAGAACGTCGTTGTCGTGGCAGAGACTCATACAACCCAGTTCCACTGTGCCGCTTGATGTTAGATGAAGCTGACAGACTCCTGAATACATGGCACAGTCGAAGTATACGTCATGATAGAGTCATGGCAAGATTTCGTCGAGATGCGAGTGGGAGACGAGATGGACTCTTGCAAATCGACGAACTCGATTACCTATTGCCAAAGAAAGTCAGGCTAAATACGATGTATTTCGAATTGCGGCATGTTCAGGCCTGCGCGAGATAGTCGAAGGCTTCAAGGTAACGCGGTGCCGGTTTCCGGACGATAGTAGTAGTCTCTTTTGGTCGTGTCGGATTAAGCAGAGTCGAGAGAATTAGGCGCTGCCAAGGACTTGCAAGGCTTACGGTGGTGAGGTAATTCAGCCCCACCATTGTTGGAATCGGACACCGAAACGTCGCTTATTTCCAGCGAAACAACCGCGAATGTGACCAGGTCGCCAATAATGGTGTTCCTCAAATTGCGGCGTTGTCGCGGATCGCAAATGCCGTTTACCAAGACTGCTCGTCGATAGCTTCGCCTCGATCTTACACGGAATCACACTTTGCCGGCGTCATCGACGTCACCAGAGATAAGAACAACGAAAGGTCTTGAATCTGGAACGTGAGCTCTGCATCTACATGGCAATAACAGCGCCATACGTTCATTCTGCTCGGATGCTAGTCTCGTAGTCCAAATCCTACGACGACGGAGGAATGCGGCCTGGGTCCCCCCAGCAATCTTCAAGCATCCAATGGCGAAGATCGCTGTAGTGGGAAGATCTGGACCTCTCCCCCCAGTGCTCGACCAGATCATTACCGTGCTTCTCTCGCCCAATGTTCTGGAAAAGACGACGCAGCTCCGCATCTGGACGCCACGCTGCCACCATCCACACTAGGCAACGTATCGTTGGATCGTCGTTTCTTTGTTGACTTGGGAGATAGTTAGATGGTGATCCCCAGATACCATTGTCTTGATCGGAATATTGTATAGCCCAATTAGACACCCAGTTAGACCCAGGTCCTTGATCTTCCGAGTCCCAGCCTTGGGACTCTGCGTAGTCATATTTCGGATACCAATTCAGCGATGTCCAAATGATGGCTCTCCTCAAAGAGCACATCTGCGCTGCTGCCCTGGAAAATCCTGCTAGGAGCGGCCTCAGTCTTGCTTCATCTGGTGTGATACGAAACTGATTTTGCGCGCCATTGGGTAAGTTGGAGAGATGCCCGGAGGTTACAAGCTCTTCCATATCAATGTCGAGCTCGGTCGTTTCAAGAGGGGGGTACGAGGCAGCGGTGATGTCGTAACCGACAGCCTCGCGGCCGCGGCCTTGAGGTCCGACGAAGTACCACGATCCGTCAGGCCGCGACGGGTGGAACATGACTTCCAGAATTTCCAGATTGGGCCATTGCGGCTGTGAATTATCGTCCATGCTGAACAGGCTTTCATCAACAATCGCCCACAGGCGCAGTTGTCGCAGATTATTGGTCAGGATACGAAGGCTGGCGCTGAATGGGTCGCGGAGAGCTGGACCGACTAGATTAGGTAAAGGCCTGTCTTGAATAGTGTCAAGTGCGCGTATCAGCGGGCTGACGAAATCCAGGCTCGCCCGCTGAAGCGAGGTCGGAAGCTGGGCTTGGTGAGAGATGACAGCGTGTGCGAAATTGTGCCTCGCGTCACGACGTGGGCCATCCCAATCGCTTTGGAAGTGTCTGTTGGGGTCTTCACTACCATCATTACCTGAAAATGCAGGAGCCCATTCGAACCCTCCTGTCTTGCAGCCGAGATACTCCAGATTTGGAAGCTTCGATACCAGATCGACCATGACCCCCAAGTCCAGTTTGAACAATCCACCATCGAAACACTTTCTGTAATTTGCAGGATAACCGTGACTATCGTGGTAAACACTCGCGTCTTCTGGGCATTCGTTGCAAATCTCCAGCGACCGAACTGAATGTACCAGGGGAAGCTCCGTATTGAGCAGACGAATGCGCCAACTGATGTATTCCTGGTGAGGACAGTATATCTCCACATGAATCAGCCTGGAGGGGTCGTGTATCTGGATTCGATATCGACCAGAGGCATGCTGGGGTGCAGCATTCTCCTCAACAGTACTGAGCGTTGTGAACAGCGAATGGACCTGACGCGTGAAGCACTCATTTTTCGCTCTGATTGCATCGGCGTTTTCGCGACACATCTCGTCTTCCCAGGGCCAGGGGTCGGGGGGCCAAATTGGAGGGAAGTTGGGCCGAAAGTGCAATTCCCGCAAGTAAAGCAGCCGGTGTCCTGAGTAAAGCCCAAGGAACTTGTCCGCGTTACGCTCATTTAGGGTAAACTCTGTGAAAGCGCCAGAATATCTCTCCGCGGCAAAACGAAACTTTGTGGAGACAGTTAGAACGTTCTTGAGATCGTCCGTGGGCAGGTTTTTGGTGATTTCCTCGACGAGTTCTTGCGGCAACCGATCCATGCCAAGCTAGCGACTTCAATGGGCTGACTGAGATTGCCGTATTTTCCGCGCGTGTTCGATTTGTGGACAGGTGTGTAGTTGTAGGTAGACGTCGAGGGAATGGGGGCAGAGTGACAGCGAGTTGAGCGTGTCTTGTTGGGGGCGGGGTTGCGGCGCGGTTGCTGTAATGTATGTAGGCTTCAAGCCCCCATGCCCTATTAATGGAAGCACATTCCGAACATTCCGAAGCGTTCCGAGCGTAAGAAACTGGCAAGAGTCCACACGCGTCGCTGGTATCTCGAATGCTGACCCGCTTAGGAGGTTAACCACTAATGCAGCTGTAAGAGTGCGGAATGGGTTGGGATGCAACATAACGGGACCCCTCCCCAGTAAAGACTGAGTTGTAGAGAAAAGGCGAAACGAATGGTACTGAATTAAGACTGAGCCGTCGAACGTGAAGAAAGCTGTACAGCTGCATCTCTCACTTACGAGCCCAGCTAGACTGTATACATACCACTGAAGAGAGTTGCATGTAGAGTGGCATCATACTGAGGCCTTGATGAGATTGCGTGCTTTTTCGATAGTAGTAGACCGTCAGTATCCGAGGATGTTGAAGACTGTTGGAATGGCTTTAAAGCAGTCCATTCCGAGGTACAGAACACGAAAACTGCGCAGTGAAGAAGTGTTACACGTCTGTAAGCGCTGGCTGGAACGAGCATGCCGCTGGTGCAGGTGTTGTTATGGTGATGGCGTGGATGCTGGAAGTCACCGCAGGCGTCATGCCAAGGCGAGCTAACGCCATCCGGACTCCCTTCCACGCAGAACCATGGAACGCAGTAACATTAAATGCAAACACGTACGCATGCTGCACTTCTTTCTGCAGTTGCTGCTTCGGAGACAATGAAGATGGAGATGTGCAGCTACTTCTAAGTGTGCACGATGGGCAGAAGACGATCGCGCAGGTTCCACCTATCCTCGGCGATCTCTCTTATGATTGGTCCATTGCGTGCGCAACTTCCTTGCCAAAAAAGCCGCCCCAACGCATCCGCTGAACACGCTCGACATCGCCGCCCACCTAAACCTTTTCCATCGCCAAACAGCACCCCAACACCTCATTTCATCACTTTCGACGCGATAAAACGCATGCGGAAGTCCGTGCGACACTTTTGACACCCATATCGACAATATTGCGACGCGTTGGTGGTCGGATCGCGCTTCTGGGAGCGTGACTCCTCTCTTCGCTGGCTGGCCCCCGGCGCCAGATTTGCAACCAAAGCCCCATACGCAGCCCAAACCGTCGTCACGTGCATAACGACCAACAACAATGACGGCTCGCGCGACCGGACAACGCTTCAGACAGCGCAAGCTATCGACAAAACAGAATTTACCTGTCGTGCGCGAACAAGATGTTGAGCAGCTTGCTGATGACGATGCGTCGCGCCATATTCCCAAGGTTGAGACCGGTGTTGAGAAGGGCGAGGAGATTGTAAGTCGCGCTAGGCCGCTTTCGGCTTTCCCTTTCCCTTACCCACCACATACTAACATCATGTTCAGGAGCACCATTTACAAGCTGTCATATCCGCCGCCCAGGCAGCAGCGCAGGGAGCGACTGGTGGGAAGATCGCACAGCTCTACATCCCGACTCCGGATGCTGTCGCGAGTACACTGCAGTATGAAGATGTCTATCCAAAACGATTCACGCAGCCCGCCACTTACATTCGATTTTCGTCTACCGTCGAAGATACATCTGGCTGTCCGTATTGCATGACCAGTGATGATGTCGCCTTTCTCAAGTCTTACAACCAAAAGAAGGGCAAAACCAACCACTGCTCAGAAGACGAGTTTGAAGAAGTGATCAACTTCTTCGAAGAGACCACCGCGATAAAACAACCGTATGCAGCCGTCGACAACTCGCCTGTTCTTTCTTACGAGGAATTCGAAGCAGAGTTCGATGAGACCATCAGCGAGTCGGCGCGTCGGTTCGCACGAGATATTTACCCACATTGGAAGAACCAACGGCTACTGAAAGGCAACCGCCCGCTCATGCCCTCGTTAAAGTTCGAGACGAACCTCGAGACCGATGATGCTGATCCGTATGTTTGCTTCAGGCGACGTGAGGTGCGGCAAGTCCGCAAGACGCGTGGTCGCGACGCGCAAGTAACCGAGAAGCTGAAGAAGCTGAGGAAGGAACTGGAGGAGGCTCGTCTGTTGATGTCGCAAGTCAAACGGCGAGAGGCAATCCAGAGAGAACAACTCGCGACGGACAAGCTGATCTTCGAACAACGGCATGCTGTCAAGGAGCTTAAGCGACGACTCAGTATCAAGGGTGATGACGATGAGCTGCTCATCACTCAGAAGGTATGTCGCAATGAACTCACCAGAGCATTCGCACAGATAACTAACCCACCACAGCCTGCGCCCAAGCCTAAGAGAACTGCCGATGTCGAGAGACAGCGCCAGACGCTTCCTGGCATGAAGCCCACGAACACACGTCCAGACGGACGCCTTGTTGACGGTGACATTGTATACCTCGAGGAGCAGCAAGCCAAGCGCACCGAGGCCATTGATAGCTTCATCGAAGACAACCTGGTCAAGCACCAAAAGTGGAATGTGGGATGGGTCGACGCAACATGGCGGCCCATTACACCCCCTCTGGAGCCACCCGCTGCGAAGTCGGACTTCCGTACGGTTTTCACGGAGAGTCAGCTCCCCACGCCTCCTGCATCCGTGTCTGACGGAGAGGGTGCTGATGCCACAGCAGTGGTGCCGTCGAGTAAGCAGACAGATCCACGGAGAAGCACGCGTATTCGTTTCGCCACTCCTCCAGATGATGTTCCGTTCCACGATCAGTCTCGGTTCCGTCGTAGAATCGGTCGAGGCGGGCGCATGATGATCGACCGACGAGGCGTGAAGCGTCAGAAGACAGAGCGGGTTGATGATCGCTTGGCAGACCGATGGCGATTCTCTGGTGACAGCAGCGAGGACGAGGAGACTTATCCCGTTGACTGGACTGACAACCTGCACATCAGATACCGCATCATGATTGAGCGTCAAGGCGAGAAGGCAGCGGCGCAGCAACCACCCGCAAATCCCAATCGCCGGTCGATTGAGAACCATAATCGATCTGCGTCCGGCCATCTTCTTCCTCCTACACCAACAAGCGCGACAGGCGCAGGACCAGCGGGAAGATGATACCCACAATTTGTTCAGTCTTCTTCGTTCAGCGCTTTTCTTGTCGACAAATTATACCCTTTGTTTTCTATTCGTCCGGCGGGCTCTGGCTTCAAATATCTACCAAAGCTATGTACACTAGCCCTATAGATTTGAGGGAGGGAGGATGGGTGGTCGGTTGGTCGGTTGGTCGGTGGATGGAAGGGCAGCGACCTAGATGGAACACAAGTCAGCAAGTCGATACTTGGATACATATACACACCAACGTCGTGGAGTGCCGCAAGGACTTCACTCGGCGACAAAAAAATTCAGAAACTTACCAAATCATCTTTTACATCTGGAATATCGTTCTGATCATCGAGTTCTTTTTCTTGGTGCAAGTCGCAACACGACCACAGCAGGTGCTGAGGGGTACAGTCTGTAGTTGATCAAACTCTGTGTTTCTTCCCCATACCACCCATCTCTACATCCCCCTCTTCATCAACAGCCCTTTGCCGCTTCGCCGCCGCACCGCCATCTCTTGCAATCTTCTCCACCAGCGCATCTTTTGTCTGAGCCAGGAGCTGCTTCTCGCCGATACGCACAGCCTTTGCCATCGCAAGTCTCCGCTGCTTCGGCGATGCAGCGTCGACAGGTGGGACCTGGCCAAACGTCTTCAAGTCATCCTCTAGCGATGTAGCATACTGCGCAATGCGTGCCTGAACAATCTTCTGCAGCGCTTCCGCGCCTTTGCTGGTGATCCTTTCTGGTTTGGGTAGTCTGCCTTTGCTGCTAGGACGCTCGTATTCTTCGGATGGGAGGAGCATGCTTTCTACTAGAATGACGAGCTCGGGGGAGAGACTTTCCTGGAGAGTGAATGGGTTGCTGGCTGCGATGTCGTAGCCGGAGTCTATCACCTCTTGCTCGTCGAGGTATTCCATCCTGTCTTGATGCCAGATGCCGTCGCGGACGAGGATCTCTGTGACGAGCTCGGCAGGAATCTCCACGACGTCGTACTGCGCGTAGTTGTCGGTTACGTAGCCGTATCTCCTTAGTAGATCGCTTCGGGGCAGCGAACCGTAGTCATTGAAGATTTCGTCGCCTGCCGGGATGGGTTTTAGCGCTTTCATCTCCAGGCAGTCCTTCTCGTAAAAGAGTCGCGCATTGCATCTGTCAGCGTCGGCATTCAGCATGTCAGCCAGTGGCACCATGCCTTTTGGCAGCGCCGCGTCTTCTTCTTCCTCAGCAAAGCCTTCCTCGTCTACCTCTTTGCTGGGTGTCGCAGGCTCAACATCAAACGCATACGCCATAATCAAACTACCCATCTTATGCATCAACTCCAAATTCTCAGGGCTGCGCATCTCCTTCGCCTTATCTTTCGCCCTCTCATCCCCACTAAACACTATCTCCGCAAACTCTTCTATCACAGGTAGCAATTGCTCTGTGAAGGCTTCGTCGGCGCCCTCCTTCCCTATCTTGGTTACCACGGCGCTGGCTTGTAGCTCGGCTAGTTCGTCCTCGGACCAGAACATCAGGGTGTCGAACTCGGTAGGCAGGACGGCGAAGTAAGGAGCCCAGTTTGATGCGGAGCCATTATGGTATTCGTAGAGCATGACGAGGATGAGAGAGAGCCAGGGGCCGAGGAGGGCGAATGTCGAAGCGGGGATTTCGCGGCTGAGGATGCTGTTTTCGACGCTCAGGATGGAGGCGCGGGGTATGCGAAAGAGGAGTTCGTGCTCGGCGATAGGTTCAGTCGCGACTTGACTTATGTTAGTATGGATCTGCCAAACGTACAATGGAGGGTGGTGGCAGTCGAGGTAGTTCTGGCAGCATGCATAGGTGGAGTAGCTACTTACCCACGCCTCGCCCAGCATCCTGGTTCCTCAGATCTTGCAGCTTGACCTTTGGACTGATTTCCGCTCCAGAAGCCTTCAGCCAGGCCAGAAAGGTCTGGCTGGCGCCGTCGAAGTCTGCCATACAGCGCAACGGTCCGGTGTGGCGTGGGATTGTTGTGGAGGGCTGGATATTTGGTGGATATTCTTTAGCGGTTCGGCGTACCGAGGCTGCTTGGTCCGAGCGGTGGAGGATTTGGTGGCTGGGGTGTGGAAGAATTTGCAACTCTTCCAAGGTTGCTTTTGGTTATATGATCAAAGAGGGACGGGATTGGAGCGAGGATAGAAAAGCTGGAGAGATTTGGGATATGATGGATTGATTGTGAAGATATGCGACAGAATTAGTAGACTTTGTTGTGGTGGTTCACAGACCCTGCAGCACCTGACTCGCGGGCGCTGTGACGTCTTTTCGTGGGTTTTTATATCGGCTTGCTTGCTGCATACGTGCAGCGTGCAGCATCGCCATCATCTGACAAGACGATCGTGAGTTTCGCAAGAGTTGTATGATCAGCAAATGTGTTGAACAAGGTCTGCTTCTACTTGCACTCGCACTGCCCAGGTTCCTTTACGGACATAGAAGCTCTTCCACAGTAGCAAATGCACATAGCTTAATTTCTAAGAGCATTACAGCACTGAGTTCTGCCAATTCCGGGTTGCATCGCGGTTTCGCGAGGATTCATAACACGCGACTTGATTTGCACCGCTGCTGGCCATTGGTGGTTGCCCAGCGCTGGCTTCATGCATGTCATTCCTTATCGATAGCTTTTTCCAACGTCACCCCGCCTCGACGCGTCAAACATCAACGCCGAACCGCGACGACCGCCACAATGATCGCCATAGGACTGGAAGGAAGCGCCAACAAGATAGGCGTCGGTGTCATCTCCCACCCTGGTCCTAACAAGCCACCGATCATTCTCGCGAACCTGCGGCATACCTATGTTTCCCCGCCCGGCGAAGGCTTCTTGCCCAAGGACACCGCAATACATCACCGAGCATGGGTTGTGAGGCTAATCAAGCAGGCTGTGCGCCAAGCGGGAGTCAAAATTGAAGACATCGATTGCATATGCTATACCAAGGGCCCGGGTATGGGCGCACCGTTACAAAGCGTCGCGCTTGCAGCCAGGACGATTAGTTTACTGTGGGGGAAGCCCATGGTGGGCGTGAACCACTGCGTTGGTCGTAAGCGTCCCAGGAAATCTACGTATCGGAATTCTAGCTAAGATCACGCAGACATCGAAATGGGTCGCTCAATAACCCGCGCCGATAACCCCGTGGTCCTATACGTATCTGGTGGCAACACACAAGTCATTGCTTACTCCGCCCAACGGTATCGCATCTTCGGAGAGACCCTGGATATCGCTATAGGAAACTGCATCGATCGATTCGCCCGCACACTTATGATACCCAACGATCCATTTCCCGGATACAATGTTGAGCAACTGGCGAAGGATGGAAGAAACCTCGTCGATCTACCATATGGCGTCAAAGGCATGGATGCGAGCTTTTCGGGAATATTGGCTGCAGCCGATCTCCTCGCGCGCGGACTAGACGAGTCATTACCCGACGAGAAGAGATTAAAGACTGAAGATGGACAGCTGGTCACAAGAGCAGACATGTGCTTCTCCCTGCAAGAGACAATTTTCGCCATGCTCGTTGAGATTACCGAACGAGCCATGGCACATGTCGGCTCACAGCAAGTGCTAGTCGTGGGAGGCGTGGGCTCGAACATGCGTTTACAGCAAATGATGGGCATGATGGCAAGAGACAGGGGTGGGAATGTGTTTGCAACAGACGAGATGTTTTGCATTGATAACGGCATCATGATTGCTCACGCTGGCTTATTAGAGTATGGAACTGGAGTTAAGACGGAGCTGAACGACACGACTTGCACCCAGCGGTTTAGAACTGACGAGGTGTTTGTGGGCTGGAGAACTGACTGAGGCGCGCTTTGCTCCGATTCGATACCCCGGCTGACATCGCCTTGCCGTCTTCTTCATATATACATACGAATTCACTGGATATGATACGAGAGGCATTCGGGCACGGTCCACCATAGTGAAGGGAGTGCTCGTGGCCCCGTGCCTTTTTCGCAACCAAACGCTGCATGTGATCACTTGGCGATACTCTGCTCCGATACGTCACTTGCACTACGCTTGCTGCGTTCTGCTTCCACCACCCAAGCGCTGGGCTCAACTCTTTGGCAAAGACCGGAGCTACCAGTGCACACCTCCGCCAACATGCTCGCGCTATCAAAGAGCGTTCTAAACCAGGAACCACGAACACAGCTGATTACCAGCAATATGCGCGCCGCTCAGTCACGCTGCTCGAGCGCCTCCAAGCCATTGGCTACCACGTCGCGTTCGTCACATTCTATTGCGACCAAGATCTTTATGCAAGCCCACCCTTTCCATCCTGTAAGTCTCAATCCGTCGGGTCGTGATCACGATAGGTAATGCATACTGATCCATGTTAGAATGAAGGAAGCTCGATATCGCAAGCGTCCCATCAGATACAGCAGCTTCAACAGAAAAACGAGGCACTCGCACGCGGACTCGCTACATGTCAAGCTCATATTGTTCAGCTAGAAGGGCGAACGACTACTAAGCAATATGATGATATCGTTGCAGCGCACGCGCTTGCTAAAGAGCACGCCAAAGATTTGATCGCGAAGGTAGTTGCATTATCTGGCACATGTAACCACCAGGAAGCCGTCATCGCCGCTCAGGATTGCAAGATTGCCGAACTTCTACAGGATCAGGAAGCCATCATCACCGCACGAGACTGCGAGATCACCGAATTTCTACATGATCAGGAACGAGACAGGAGCGCTCTTGATACTTTACGCGGAAAGCGCCGAGCGGACCGTAAGACCATAGAGGATTGGTCACGAAGGATCGCCGAACTGGAGGCGACAATCCACGAGCAGTCAAGCACTATTGCTATACTTCGCAAGGACAATAGTTGTTTGGAAGCCAAAGTCCACGGCTTATCCGAATTCGTCACCAAGAAAGATGAGGAGCTAGCACGGCTGAAGCGAACTCTCGACTCAGCCGCTGCCATGCATGGAGACCATGACGCCCCACCCAAAGGAAGCGACGTAGTTGCCTGCATTTGCAAAGCCGAATCAGTGAAGCAAAGTAGTACCTATCGAAAGCTTTCCGACCATTTCGCTGTAAAAAGCAAGCTCTGGGAAGATACCGAGGAGAACATCAAGCGTGCAGCCCTCATCGCCCAAGCGGAGACTCGTAACAACCACGCGAACTGGGTGCAGATCTTGCAGGAGAAGGACGCCGCCATCGCTGGTCTAGAGATCACACTAGACGCAGCAATGGCCAAAGGAGACCTAGCCAAGCATACCCAGCACGCCGTCAAGACGCATCAAGCCTTGCGTAAGAAGAACGCGGCATTGAGCAAAGACAACAAGGACTTGAAGACGGATGTACAGAACCTACTCGATGTCAACCAGTCGAATGCAGATCGACTGACCGCGTATTTAAAGAAGTTAGAGACGCTGCAGGACGAACGGATAGATGCGGTCAACCAAGCTGCGCAGCTTACTGACCAACAGACGAAGCTTACCAAGTACGCTTCGGATTTGCAGAAGGTCATCGCTTCTGCAGCCGCCAAGGTAAACCAGGAAGATGTCTCCAACATTGCAGACTGCGTTCCACGAGCCACTGTTAACGGCATCGTGGCAGAGGCTATAGCGGATTACTACGCGCAGGCAGAACAACTTCGTGCTCAGCTTCAGCAGGAGCAAGAGACACGTCGACACATTCAAGCCAAATTGGACCAGTGTGATAAGGATCTCTTCACATACCAGACCGAGGAGCAAGATTGCTTAGCGAAGGTAGCTGGGCTTGAACGCAAAGTGCAGTCACTGAAAGCACAGGAAAAGATTCTCGAAGACCAAATCCAGAACTGTCATGCCTTGGTCAGCGCTACACACACCACCAGTAGCCCACATGCTTTCGAAATGCATCGCCTGATCCTCACCCAGATCCACCCACTCCAGACAGAGAACAGGAAACTCATCTCCGAGAAGTACGAACTCCTGAAAAATGTCGATAGGTTCAAGCTTGAGGCGCTCGATACGCGCGCCAAGTGCGAACGCAGGATCGACAACTACCGAGCATGGTACAAAGACTTCGAGATGCATTACTGGCATGTCGCAGTCGTCGAGCGTGATAGCCTGCACGAAGAACTTGCGTATTGGAAGAAGAAGAGTGGAAAGGAACATTTCTACTCCTCCGCAGCTTCCAGTCGCTTGGTTCACGACAGACGCTTACTACAGTTTGCGCTACGCGAAGACCACGGCCTGACCAAGAGCATGCTGCCTAAGGAGTACTTTGATCCAGACTTCCTCAAGGGCTGCCACTCAGCAGTGGAGTTGGCTTTGCGTAAGCTCTGGCCGGACTTCTGGCAGTACTTGGAGGGACATGCCGCGTGGGTGCCACTCACGGTTCCTCTACTCACGGGCGAGGGTGAGCTCGTCATGGATGAGGCTACTCGTGCGGCGTCGAACGCGCGCCTGGCGGAGTTCAAGAAGGAGCTTGAGGCGCTGGACGAAAAGCTCGAAGAGGCGCATCGCAAAATGTTCGACATTGACGATGGATCGGACAGCGACGAGGAAGAGAAGACCGACAAAGAAGATGATTCTGACGGTAGCAAAGAACATGTCGGCACGCCTCGCAATACCCCAGGCTCGCACGACACGGATGGTACGTCACCGCCTTCTAGCAAGCGCAGATCATATGAGCGAGGATACCCGAACGATAGCACGAAGGTTGACGGCTGCCATCCTGATGATGGCCAAAATCCCACAGCGATCGGAGAGGAAGAGGCGCGGGAGTTTGACGAGCTACCTGCATTTGCAAAGACGATGCTTGCGCGCATCAGCGCTCACGAAGCCGAGAATGAGCAACTTGCCGGTTACGTCGCTGACGAAGACATCGATCAAGACGCGTTCCTAGCGCAGTATGGTCAGGGTATTGCGGGTAAGCCATGTTGCTGCATGAGCCAATTGAGTAGCGTCACTAACATATTAGCAGTTTCTCAAGACGGCAATTTACTTAAACCGACCGAATCTGTTCAAGTCGCTGCGCACGTCGAACAAATAAGCATCGACCGCCTGGACGTGAACGGTGATGATGGACGTACTCTTGAGCAACGAGTCGCTGAGGAATATGTGGAGGGTGGGCACAATACGTTTTCTGAAGAGGAGTATGATGGCTTTGATGATGGGATGAAGAAGAAGTATCGCGAGGCTATGGTAGAAGCCGTGGTCGAGGGCCTGGACTGAGGGATGAAGTCGGCGATTATGGGTCCGTTGGAGCTCGGCGTAGCTGCTACGACTTATAGTCATTAGGTGGCTTGTAAAAGATAGAAACTATAGTTATTAATAGCAAAGTGGGTTGTAGGACGGCTGAGGCTTACGATCGACACCTTTCATGAGGCTTACAGACTAGCACGGCGGGCCGTACATTAGCATCACGCTAAATACCATGCTACAGCAATCTAGCCTCAAAAAGAGAAGGTCGCATGTGACGTTGCTGCACGCCTGAACCACCTCGGAGATACATAACTGCATGCAGCCACGATCAAGACTTCTGAATCCAACCCGAACTACCAAAATGAAGGCATCGTCGTCAATGCTAGCGGTGCTCTTTGCCGCAACCGCAGCTTCAAGTCCAAACACCGCACCCGACTGCGGATGTGGAAAGTCATTACCCAAAGGCGTCGAGCTCGACAAGTCCGTCGATCTGACATTGGAGAGTGAAAGCGGTGTTTCCCCTCGCAAATACCGTCTACACATCCCACCCTCATACGACAACAACAATCCCGTCCCACTCATCCTCTCCTTCCACGGCCGTGGCAAGAATGCGGAGTACCAAGAAGCTCTCAGTCAATTCTCAAATGCTAGCTATGGCTTCGAAGGCATCGTCGCGTATCCCGAAGGCGTACCGGTACCGCCTCCTCATTCCTAGATGCATGATAGAAGTATGCTAACACTTGTCCAGAACGCAAAAGGCACGCAGCAATACGAGGGCGACCCCGACTCCCCTCCCTCCATCTCCGATGTCAAATTCACGCTAGAACTCATCGACCACCTCCAATCAACCTACTGCATCGACCCCACCCGCATCTACGCAACCGGAAAGTCCAACGGCGGAGGCTTCACCGGCGGTGTGCTCGCCTGCGACGCCGAAGCGAGCTCGCGAATCGCTGCGTTCGCGCCTGTCTCTGGCGCTTTCTACCTCGATGCCGACCAGCAGCCCTTACCTTGCAACCCCAGTCGCCAAGTCCCCATCATGGAATTCCACGGCCTGGAGGACACGACAATACCATACGCCGGCGGCATCAACACCCGCGGCAACGCAAACTCAACTGACGTTCCTACGTGGGTGAGGGATTGGGTCGAGAGAGACGGCCTTGACGTTGACGCGAACAAAACATCATATCTCTGTGAAGGGGATGGAGGGAAGAAGGTTACGAGATTCAGCTGGGACGACGTGGTTGTGCATTACAAGTATGAGAATCTAGGACATGATTGGCCTAGTTCGTTTGCGAATGGCGACACAGGGGATGACGAGGGCGTTTTGACGTGTGAGGCGGCGGAGGCGACGAGGATTATTTTGGAGTGGTTTGGGGGGTTGGCGCTGTAGATGGAGCGTGTTGTTCAAGGAACAAGACTAAATAGGTCTGCAGCCTGCTTTTAGATGATAGAATTTGAAGTAGTCGAATCAACTTCAACGTAGATACTAGGGTGTTTAGACTTTCCTTTGCATGAGGTAGGAGGCTGCTGAGTGGGAGACGGTGGGGAGAAGTTCGGATAGCGCGTGGTAATTCTCCAGGCACCCGCAATCTACGGTTTTTGGAACTTGCCCGATTTGGAATGCGCGCGCGTGCGGTCGATGACGTCATTGGCTGACACCATCACCGAGACACATCGCGACTTCATCTTGTCTCATCTCCTGTACACTTTCAGCGTCCTGCGCATTCCTCAAATCACCTTTCATATCTCCACTAGAGTCTGTCCGTGACGTAAACCATGCGTTTGTACTTGTTCACTTGCCTGTCGAGGCCTATGGCCATAATATTGTCGCGACCGCGTCACGACAGCTTTCGCACCCTGTTACTAACTGATTTCGCTTTTCCATTGATGCACAGACGAGGCCTCCTATGAACTCATGCTAGGCTCATCACGCGGCTCCTTTTGTAGGTACTGAGTATGCATGGGAGCGGTGGGCTCGAATGGCCCTCTCCTCAGGCAGCTGCCTCACACGTGCAGCGCGATATGGGAGTTAAACATGCGGCGAATGGCTCATCCTTTGCTTGCAACTGTCTCTTAATCATTTTGATGTTTCCGTCAAACCATGGTCCTCTAAGCTCGAAATTTTCAGCTCTTTCAAATTTGCATGTTGGGTGCCTACGCGTACCTTCCAATCTTCTGCGCCGTTCCAGTGTTTACTTCCCCGACTACTCCCACAGCGGACTTCCACCTGCCCTCGCTTGATGCAACACCAACTTGTCTGATCTCAACGGCGACGACTTACCCTCATTCGCTTTTACGCCGATTTTCACACCGCTGCAATCGAAGGCCACCCTCCCGGCAGTCGCCATGGCCTACCACTCAGCCTACCGCGGCATTGCGACGGGTGCCAACGGCGAATTTGATCACTTTGTGCGGACAATCGACCCATCACATTTGGAAGGCGGGTATTGGAGGTTCCAGACTATCGACGATGACCGGCGCGCAATGGCCCGCGGCTTCACAACACCTGAGGATGTTCTCCAAGCTGCCGACTCCAGCGACGACAGGTTCGACGAGATCATACTAAGATGGGTGAGGGGCGCAAACGATACAAGCTTCAAGATGGCGATGTCGGGTACGGCGCATCATCATCTCCAAACGATCTACGAACTGCGCTCGATGCTTCATCTGCCCATGTCGTCCAGAGGGCAAGTGCCGCTCTACCCAATCAGCACCAACCCACGTCTTAAGCAGTACTGGGAAGCGAAATACAGAGCCCAACGACCTACCCCGATCGATCCCGCGATTCAGCTACCAGAACGGCCCATCTCATCTCCAGTGACACCAGGGCCTGTACACTCGACTTCATCGCAAGCTCAGCACGCAGAACCAGCGACACCGAAGTCCCCCATTGGCAGAGTTACCAGGGCACGCAGCGCGAAGCTATCGCAAGCAGCGGGACCGAAACCTGCAGCCAAAACTAAATCAGTCAAACAAAGAACCAGTGCTACTACATTGCCTGCAGGCCAGCTTTCGCCTACATCTTCATCGTTAGAAAAGGTCAAGATTTCACTTCCTCCTTCCAAAGCGAAAAGTCAGCAGCAGGCTCCCTCCCAACGCTTCGAAACGCAACCGTTGATACCCGCACAACCTGGTCCGTCTATTAGCGGGAGCGTGCCTACGATACCGCGAGCTGCGTTAGAATGGGGATTGCAGTCGTCACCAAAACAAGCAACATCCAATGCTAGCAATGGAGTATCTCAACATAACTGGGTTCACCCGTCTGCTCGCGCCTCTGCTGTACAATACTCTGCTTACGCAGACCCTCCACGACAGCTAGCCCACAGCAAGAGCGCTACAGACCCTTCACCAAATACTACTGCCTCGATTTCAGGAGTTTCCAATGCTTCGAACATACCAATCCGATCTCCGACGAGCGGAAGACAAGACAACCGTTTTGCGGAAACATATCCTGGGTACGTGGCACTGAGGGGGGGAGGCAATGATCGAAGGGATGGTCGCAATGCAGGTTCCTCCGCCAACAAAGGACACAAACCGATCGCAGCTCCGACAACGCCATCTGCTTTCGACGATGATGATAGCATCCCCGGTGTATCAATAAGCCCGCACGCGCCTCACAATGCTTCCTCAAAGACCCCTACGATGGGCTCACAAGAAGTCTCGTCCGAAGACCGATATAGCCCTCTACAGTTACCAGCAAGCTCCCCGGCGCATCACACCGAAGGTACAAATATCGAAGAGCCAATCGCGGCCGTTGGGTCGTGCAACACGGCAACCAATGGGCAGGCTTATGCTTCTCGGGGGAGACAACAGCCTTCAATTAGCGACCTTCGGTCGCTCAGCACATCAGACGTATCTACACTGGGTACTAAAGCCGTAGCCGTAGCGGAGAAGCCGGTAGAAACTATCTCCGAGCCATGGGGCAGTTACATGAAAGGCCTTGAACAGCTTCCATGTGTAGATTGCGGAGAAGATGAAGGACACCAGCTGGACTGCAATCTTGGGAGTAAGTGCCATAACAGCAACTCCTCAATATCTCACTAACATTACATAGGCATTACACCAATGCAGAACCTCACCGTCCTCGACTATCGCACCCTTGCCGACGCTGTCGAGCAATTCGATCCTGGCCCATGGACAACCCACTTCGTTCCTCCCGAACCCGAACCTGAAGACGCGGCGACACAAATGAGAGGCATGGCCGCCGTCATAAGGAATGAGGATAGCTACAAACAAGATGCCGAGCTTCACGGACTACCTGATGACCTCATGATGATGTTGTGGGCTTTCAAGACTTCGGACAATGTTCAGGTTATCAATGAGTATGTGGACAGCTGCTGACGACTACAATGTGGTGCTGACTTTTGCTCTAGGGAAGATTGGGATTCCGGCATCGGCGAGTTCGAGATGTGGTGATAGAACTGTATTGTTATGCTCACATGGATACAAATCCAGATTAGTGATCAAGGAGCAGTAATGTTGAGGCGAATTGGTTGTCCTGGACTGTATGCGCTGTCGCAGGAGGGGGACGTGTTGTCGTGAACAGTGTCTCCGTGGCTTGCGCCTCTGCTACTGAAAAGCGCCATGGAAGTAGAAACTGGAAAAGTTACAATTGCTCTGTACTGTCTTCATTGTCTCATAATTCGTGGATTTCGCGGCTTAGTCGACGTCGCGACTAGCGGTTGAAGAATCGAAGCCCCGCATCGTGTACCTCGGCAGCCCATCCTGGTCCGCCACGGACGAATCACGACAACAAACACCAGGCAGGTTTCGTGCAACCCTTACTCTGTATACGCTACCGCTGTCTCCGTGAGTTGTAGTCCGTGACAGTCGCTGCAGCCTAGAAACTAACGACATTTCTAGGACCATTTCTGTCATCTTGACACCAATCTCGATCTTGCAGCCTGCGGTCCCTGCGCAACGTGTACATACATAATCATAGCCATACAACTTGGAGCAAGTCACCACGTCCATAATTGCATGAAACTACTCAAGTCTTTACCACAACCATGGCCGATTTCGAAACCATCATCAACGACGCCATTGCAGCGCAAGAAATCCCCGGGTGTGCTCTAGCGGCTACAAGCCGTGATGGTACCCAAACCTCCCATTGGAATATCCAACCTCCAGTACTAACAAAACATCAGGCTCCTTCACATACTCCAAAGCCTTCGGCCTTACCTCCATGAACCCCAATTCCGCCAAACCCATGGACCTCAACACCATGATGTGGGTCGCATCGTGCACCAAACTCATGACCGCCCTCTGCGCCATGCAACTCGTAGAACGCGGTCACATCACCCTAGACGAACCCGTATACACCCACATCCCAGAACTGGAATCCTTGAACGTCCTCACCGGTTTCACCGACGCCGGAGTCCCTATTGAGGAAAAGCACACAAAGCCTATTACTCTCCGTCTCTTGCTGACGCACTCGAGCGGCCTGACGTACGAAGGTATGCATCCGAAAACGCTAGCGTGGCTGAAATATCACGGGAAGAAAATGAATGCCTCGCCAACGGTCGTGGAGCGCTTCGTTGCGCCGCTTGTGTTTGAGCCGGGCGAGAGCTGGGCGTATGGGCCTGGGGTTGATTACGCCGGTTTACTAGTCGAACGTATCTCCGGTCTCACCCTAGAAGAGTACATGAAGAAGAATCTCTGGGGCCCGCTTGGTATAACGGATGTTACGTTTTTCCCTTCCACGCGCCCGGATTTGCAGGAGAGGATGGCGGAGATGTCGGGGAGGGGTGAAGATGGGAGATTAAGCGTTCATGAGGGGAAGATGCCTTTTGTGGATGACAAGGGTGAGGAGGTGACGGGTTGTATGGGTGGCCAGGGCAGTTTTACGTGCGCGAAGGAGTATATCAAGGTGTTGAAGGGGGTGTTGGACTGCGACGAGGGAGGCGAGGGCAAGCTGCTAAGTAAAGAGAGTTTGGAGGTGTTTTTCAAGCCGCAGTTGGGTGAGGGGAGTCGGGCGATGCTGAATGCTGTTGTACAGGATGATGCGGTATGTGCTTCCTTCTATTCTCTTCTTCCAGGGCGGTTAAGCTAATAATGGCACAGGCGAACAACGCAATGGGCGGTACACCCAAGCACGTAGCTAAAGACTACGCCCTCGGCGGCCTGGTCATGATGGACGACGCGCCCGACGGCAAGAAAGCAGGGACGATGCTCTGGGGCGGCTATCCCAATCTCATCTGGTGGATCGATCGCAAGACCGGACTTGCTGGTGTTTACGCTGGCCAGGTTGTACCGCCTGGGGACCTGATATGTGGAAAACTGATGAGGAAGTGGGAGGAAGGTTGTTATGAGATGTTTGAGAAGCATAGAGAAAGTAAGTCGAAGCTTTGAATGTGCTGGTGGAAGGGCACGAGCGGCAAGGTGGATGTGCTGACGTGTGAGAAGAGGTGTAGAAGCGAAGACGTAGATATAGCAGGGCAGACATCACGGTCAGGCAGTGTAGAAGGGAAGAGGCGATGGGTTTTATGGGTATATTCTTCTGTCAATGTTTCTCATCAAGCTCATCCGATGCTCAGCAGTGATGCGATGTGAGCGTTCCGTAACCATATCCATCTCCATGCATCTTCATGTCCATCTCACTTCCAGTAAGCACCACCAAGGTCCATGCTGACCTACCACCCAATGAGTCCGTCATTCCAAGCCGGTGAGCTCCTCGCAACCGCGCCATCAAGGCAACAAAAGAAAGAAATGTAGATACATGACACGATACCATCCAACGCCAACTACACAAAGCATCTAGCGACGACGACCAGCAGCCTGGAGCTCAGCATTGCGCTTGAGAGCCTCCATCTGACGGAGACGTCCGTAGTCGCTGGCGGGAGTGGGGGTCTGACCGATACCGCGACGGGCATTCAGCATGGCGGCAGCGTCCGAGAGATCGGTGTTGTTGTTGACAGGAGAGACAGACTGGACCGCTGGAGCCGGAGCCGGGTCGCCGATGACGCCGTTACCACAAGGACCGCCGAGACCGCGACCGGAGTTGAGACCTTGATAGGCCGGATGAGACATGTCGCCGAGATTGAACTCGAACTCTGACAAGTCAAGCTGGAAATCGGGAAGGTCGAGCTGGAAGTCAGAGGCGAAAGAAGAGGTGTCCTTGTTGAGACAGTAGTCCATGTTGACGGCGTCGTTGCCCAATGACTGAACTGTGTTGTTGATGTCGATGTCGATGTTGTTGATGTCGGAGTTGGACATGGGAGAACTGGCGGTAGACATCTGCGCCTTCTGAGCTGCCATGAGAGCGCGGTACTTGGCGGCGTCCTCGGCGTCGGAGTCGCGGGTGGTGATAGCGGTAGCCGGGCTGCTGAGGAATGCAGTAGGACTTGAAGGTGTGATGGTGAGGCTGTTGCGCTGTGTCTCTGGGGAAGCGGTCGAGGTGCCCATGAGCTTGGCGCCGCTGTCGCCAGTGCCGAAGAGGTCTTCGCCGATCATCTCGAAGTCAGGTGGGGGAAGTAGAGTGCCAGGCTCGCCGATCTTGATACCGGTGCTGGGGTCAATGCCCTGGAGGAGAGGAAGTAGAAGACGGCCTTTCTCTTCTTGGGAGAGCTGAGACCAGGGGAGGTGGTAAAGCTCTCCGACGCAACGAACGGGTCCGGAGGGTGCAGAGACGGTGCGCTTGTGAGCCTTCGCAGACTTCTTGGGCTTGGTGACCTTGGCGGCCTTCTCCTTGGGAGGCTTGGGAGCTCTGGGCTTGGGCGGAGCTTTCACCTTGACAACCTTGGGCTTGGGAGGAGCCTTGGGCTTGGTCGCACGAGGTTTGGCGGGGGCCTTGGTCTTCTTGGCCGGGGTTACCGGCGGAGCTGGGTTCATGAGAGGCGTCCACATTGCCTCGATAGGCCCTGGAACGGCAGGCAAAGTGGAGGCCGGGAGGGTCTCAATGGCCTTGGGGAGAGTAGAGGACGCCAACTCAGCACCTTGTAGATGCCTGGCGTGACTCAGGAGGTCACCGCCAGGAGGTCCAAACGACATGTCGCCGGCAAACTCTCCAGCGTTGAAGCCGTAGTCGAAGTTGAGAGCGACGTCGTCGCCAGAGGTCTCGACGGACGGCAGAGGGATGTCCTTGAGGAAGTCGTCGTTGCAGAACATGCTGAAGTCGAAGTCCATATTGTTGGACATGTTGATGAATACTTAGGTTTGAAAGAAGTGAGAAGGTAATCGCTGAGATGCTTGTAGGTAATCAGGAAGTAGTGTGAGGTGTAAGAGAGACGAATAGAAATTGATTTTGACAGCCACAAGGTGAGCTCTGTGGGAGAAAGGCTCGGCGTCGTTATCTAAGCAATTGAGGAGGCTGGTTAGAGAGTCTGTGAGCATGAAGGTAGATAAATACCGCACCTTTTCCTCCATCTTCTGCGGTGCAGGTGGTGGTGGTGGTGGATACTTCAGTTACCCGATTCGGCGTCGCATACTGTGGCGGCGGGCAGCGATTGGCCCAGCCTCTCGAGGAACTGGTGTTCTGACCGGGATCTGGCGTCGTTCTGCGGAGGTTCGGGGGTTGGGGTCGAAAAGTTGTGTTTCAGGTCTCCTTCACTTTTTGCGCAGCAGCGCCTGACTGGCTCGGTAAAGGCTCAATAACGCGACAATAGCAAGAAAGACGAGAGAAAGAAGGCAACAGATAGTAATTGTGCGACTGACGACGTCATTGCGATTTAGGACGCCGTTTGGTGTGCTGGCTGCGGTGGTTGTGACAAGGTGAAGGGGCGCCGGTGGAGGAACAGATGGCGAGCGCGACATCCCAACACAGCATATCTGCTAGAAAAGTCAGATACTGAGGATGATTATATGTATCAGAATGCGCTTGTGGTACCTTTGCATACATTTGAGCAAATCGTACGTCATCGCATCTCAGTGAGCCAGCCCGTCGCTGATACACGCGAGAGCAGCATTCCGCGTAGGCGTCGTGAGAGTCTCGGCGCTGCACCAGCAGGCTCCTCAAAGTGTTGCGTATGAGTCGAAGAGCCATTAGTATGGGTCGCGATGTAGATTTGCATTCATGGTGCCTTCTCCGTACTTCGGGCTCCTCTGGTGGGACCGTTTGGTGAGGGGATGGCGATGACGTCACTGATCACGACACCGGGCGCGAACATCGACCGCGGCCCTAAGATGACTTTGTCAGCTTCACCTGGCGAAATGATAATTGAGAAAGAGGCAACATCTCACGGCGAGGATGGGTGTAATTGTGTAGACGTACAAACCTTGAGGATTGCATGTGCGTGGTGGTTTGTCCGGGCTGTTGCCGACTTATATAACACAGGCACCCACTATGGAGGAGGGAAGACACTGAACATCCATATATTTATAACGTTGATTGATATATAAGAACGACAATAGCTACTGAAGATAGGGTGACGTTGGCCTGTCAAGCGCCAATCATGCGTGTCATCCTGCAGATTGCTGGGCGCTGCCGCGAAGGATCTAGCGCGAACATGGACAGAACCCAAATGCCACCGCGCGTGTCATCCTTCCCGCATCATCCCATCTCTCTGTCCGTCTCCTCCAGCGCTTGCGCGTCTCATTCATTGAGCATCTTCGACCGTTACCCGTCTCCAGCCTGTGTGCACCCTATTCGTGCGATGGGGTAGTCTCATTTGTGGATTGCAGACCGATTGTCGCGCCTGCCACCTTGCTTGCCTTGCATGGCCAGCAGTCCATCGCGGCCTCGTCTTCCATTGTCGCCACACGATAATGCAACCGTTGACCTCCAGCTTGCTTATCGCATTGTATCACCAGGCGCTTAGTCGTCTCCAATCCTTAGATAATCCGTGGCCCAGTGGACCCTGAGCTCCTCGTCCATGCCCTCCCACACCTTACGCGTCATCCTTTGATCAATCTGCTGCCACGACGATTGATACTCTGGAATCTGCGATACTTCGACGAGGCGGCTTCGCGCAACCCGGCGTACCACTTGAGGTTTCGCCTTCCGTGCCTGCGTTGGGATTGACGTTCGGTCGTCGCGTCCTGGGGTGATGGGACTGTGCGTTCGTCTGCTTGATGCTCGCGTCAGCAGCGGCGTCCTTGGATCCGACGCATTGTCCGCCACATTGTTGTGAGCATCTGACGTGGTGGCGAAGTCGATGCCCCGTGGCGCGTATGTGTTGCTCACTGAGGATCGCGCAGAGCCAGCGCTACCCTGACTCGCATTATGATCGCCAGCCTCAATGCGCATCGCAGCCTGCTCCTCGGAGAGTGCCGCTACCATCTTTGACAACCACACTTTACCCGCAATGTAGATGGGGTACCATCCCTGTGGCCGTAGTGCCTTCAACGCGGCTTCAGTAGGCGACAAACACACTCCGGACGTAGAGTCGTAGAAGGTCGCAGAGATCAACTCCGGCGGAACACCCTGAAGCCCATGTGCCATAGCAAATGCCAGCGTCTTCCGATCATGGATCTCGGGGTTGGCGGGCGGAGCAGGCTCGACGAAATGTTGCTCACCCTTCTCTGCTTTGAGGGCGGCAATCTCGTTGTGTAAGCGCTCGGTTGTTGCGACGGCCTCGTTGAAGTAGAGGTGGTACCAATAATTTACGTCGCTACTCGCGATCATAACGTCGCTCTCGCACTTATCGACGATGGTCTTGCTCCACTGCTCGATCTCCTCAAGTCTCTCCTGTAGCTGAGCGTTGGTGTCGAGGAGGCTCTGGTTTGTAGCGGCGGTCCCGCTCACCAGGTCCAGCAGCTCGGACTGGTCTTGCTCACCGAAAGCACCTTGCCGGCTTTTGGCTACCTTGCGGAGCATGTTCAGCTCGTGCATCATCGCTTCTGTACTTTTATTGAGCGTGCTGTTGGACTTCTGTTCTACAATGAGCTTGGCCTCCATTATGTCGTGTTCGATGGAGACTCTGAGGTGATCGCTGTCAAGCTTATCAAGCTTGGCTTGCATATCGGTCTTCTCGTCCCGCTCGGCTTGGAGAGAGTTTCGTAGTTGCTCATTCTCGAGATCGATCGCATCGAGAGCTGCACAATGAGCGCCCGGTGCAACATTGCCTTGCTGTAATTGCTCGAGCTGTTTCGCCAAGTCCCGGATTTGGTCATTCTTCAGCGCCAGTTTGTCTTCCAGCAGATGCACAACCTTCTCAGAGCGGCTCAACGCCGCACGCGTATTCTGCTCGGCTTCTCGGTGTCGTGTGACGTCCGTCTCGGTATTCTGGATTGTGTCGAGCAGGTTTTCGCCGTGGGTCCTCAATCGCTGCACTTCCGCCCGCTGCTCCGCTGCTTCTTCTTTACCAGCAGCATTTGCCTCTAACACACGCTGAAGCTCACTTCCGGTTGTGAACTTCTGGCGTAGCATCTGCGACATGGTTTCGTACTCTTTCTCGAGCTGCTGGATCCGAGCCGTGAGGCTGATGATGGTCTCCTCTTCCTGAGACATGGCGTCGTAGTATTCAGCTACCATACGACTGTTCTTCATCTCCAATACTTCGTTCTTGCTTTTCAGATCGTCAGTCTTGACCCTGTGTGCTTTGAGAATCTTCCTCTTCTCAAGATTGGCCTTCCTCTTTATATCTTCACGCTCAGCGGTCACCTTTTCGACCGTTTTCAGGAACGTGGATTCTTTTCGCAGGCATTCTTGGTGCCACTTCTCGGTTTCTTCACGCTGGGCTGCGATGGCCAGGTCGTGATCTGCCTTCAACGTCGCCGTTTTCAGATCCTTGGCCTTGACCTCCGCTTGGTGCTTCTCAGCCGCTTCAACGAAACGGTCATTCAGGTCTCGGTTTGTCTCGTCAACCTGTTGGCAATAGGCCTCCATGTCGGCCACTTCTTGGGACCACTGATCTACCAATCGCTTGTCGTTCAGGCGCTGCGCCCGCTGCTCGGCGTATTTTTGGTTGAGAGCTTGGTATTGAGCGTCTTTTGCGTCGCGGAGATCGTCTTGTAGAATCCCATACCGCCCGCCAGTGACCATCAACGCCTGGCGGAGCTTCTGTGTGGTCTTGCCATCGTCGCTTCCAGGGTACGAAGTACGATCAGTGTCGGGGCTCGCGCCGCGCTCGTCGTCGCTGTCCGGCCCAGAACTCGGCTTTCCGCTGCCGTTGGGGGAGCTGGTTGTCGAAATCGATGAGGCGATCATGCCGTGTGCTATTCGTGCCTTCCGCCAGGTGTTTTCGGTTGCGGCGTTGATGCATAGCGCAATGTTCTTGCACAGCGCATTGTCCTTCGATGTCTTATCAGTCTCATTGTTCGTTTGTGTATTGTCATGACCTACGTGGAGCGAAACTTCTGTCTCAGTCGCACGCCAGGCGAACAGCGTCTTGATCTGAGCCAGCCTCTCCTGGTATACAGTGTTCGCTGGGTCGCCATCGACCTGCGCGACTTCGTATAATGGCTGACTGCGCGCCATATTCTCGTGGCTGGCCTCGGTCGGAATGGCGGGTTGCTGTTGGGTCTCCATGTCGGGCGCACTCATGTTGGTGCTGGTGGAGCTGCTTGCAGAAGCGATCTCGTTGGACGTCGGCGCGCTCAACATGATAAGCTCAGGTGTGGTCAGGGGAAGAAGATTGGTTGAATGGGCGTCTACTCCAGAGTTGAGTGAGCCTGTTGGTGTGGGCAATTGCTAAAGCGGACCCGTAAAGAGAAAGGAGAGTTGCTGTGGTCATTCAGGCGTTGCGCAGCGCGCATGACGTAGGCGCACGACTATCGCGAGATTCACTGAGTTGTTACACTTTGGGTCAAAACACGCTGACAGGATCTGATAGGGCCAGTCATGGGGCGCATTATATGATAGTAAGGTGTATCTGCACGGAAGAACCACTTGAACATCACTGTGAAGATGCTCAAATCTACCTAGTGTTGTCGTTGTCGGAACGAAATACTACACAGGTCAACATTGAGGAAGCTCTTCGCCACCCGCTCGCGATCGAACGCCCCTTCAAAGACTGATGTTGTCATGCTAGTGGCGCTCACGATGCGCCTATTGCCGTCATGATTCCACAGCTCCTTTTAGGGGCTTTTATCGTTTTATCGATCATGAATATGTATATGTTGAAAGTATTACCTGAACTATGGCCGATGCGAACAATGCCTGAGACTTGTTGTCGGTATTTGGACGTGACAATGTGTAGACCGCCACACTGTGTTTGTCTTTATCTGAGTTAGAATAGAAGGAGAGTTACATCGATGCAAGCCCCTATATTAGTTTCCTGATAGCGAGGAACACAAATATTGAGATTAGAACGCGCTGGAAAAGAAGCAGTGGTAGTAGGAGTTAGGAATACCCAACTGTTTCAGAACTTCTGAAGCAGCTTATATTGAGGTTGCTGTATAGTTTCTAGACCTTAGATTTGAGCACGATGTTTAAGAAAAAGATGTAAACCCTAAGAGCCTACAAAGCTGAGTTCCAAGGTTTTTGTGAAGCAATCACGTGACGTGACCCAAATCTAAATTGATCAGCTCCATTTGAGGTCCAACCAACCGAATCGAAAGTCATATTGGGTGCAGCCAAGAAGCTACGACGGATGTGAAGACACTGCGAGTTCAAGAGCGGAAGTCAGAAGAAGAAATGAGTACGAGAATGCGAAGACACGGCGAAGGCTGTACGCAGCCCCGACGTCCGTGATCCCGACCACGCCCCAGTGGCGCTAATCCAAATGCAGCCTAGTACATCCCTTTTGGCAGTCGCGACTCCAGTAATCTCTCCTCGCTAGTGATGAAGACGTTACACCAGCAGGGCAGGCCCTCCCCAACGGCCATGAACAGATATCCCACGCGTGGATTGTTACTCGCGGCTCATATCGATCGGTTTTGATGATGCCTGAATGTCATGACGTCTTGTTTCTGCGGCTGATGGGCGCCGCCTTGGCAACGCCGGAGGCCTTGACGTCCGGAGCGCGAGACGCCCGTGAACGCGACGCTATAGACACGCTCTAGGCCTGCTTATCTCATGCGACAAACAACACGTCCTACCTGCTGCATTAATGCGCGTATGTTGCTTGCGCATTGTGAACGATGATGGACACCCGTGACGCGCCGTCGGTGACTACTCACAGCTCCAACACGATGCAGGAGACAGCAGACAGACCCGCTGTCGCGATCGATGTTTCTGGCAACGCCGACCCAGAGAAGCAAGTCGATGTTGATGATGGGAAATCGAGCAAGGCTTCCAACGAAGAAGCGAAGAAAGAAGAGAAAGAAGGAAGTCTGAAAGACTACTTTGTAAGTCACAGATGCGCACGAGAGTAACGACCGCAGACTGATGTCTTTTCTCACAGCGTATCTTTACATACGCCAGCACGGCTGATCGCGTACTGTTCGGTCTTGGACTCACAGGTGCCGTCGTCGTTGGTGCTGCGCTCCCCTTGATGACTCTTGTCTTTGGACAGTCCACAGCCGAATTCAACCAACAAGCGACCGGCCAAGATAGCTCGAACTTTACCAGCAACATCGACAACTTGGTACTCTATTTTGTTTACCTCTTTGTCGCTCGCTTCGTTATTGGGTATTTGGGTACTCTGTGCATCTGTATCGCGGCAGCCAGGACAACATGCGCGTTGCGAGAGGACTTTCTGGACAAGTTGCTCCGTCAGGATGTGGCTCATTTCGACAAAGATGGCAGTGGATCTGCCGCGACTCAGGTTACTACCAGTGAGCAGCCTGATTCAAATGTTTAGGTACACACTACTGACATCGCGGCCTAGATGGCAACAGGATCAATCAAGGCACTGCGGAAAAGCTATTCACGTGCGTCCAAGGCATCTCACTCTTCTTCTCCGGCTTCATCGTGGCAATCGCTGTCCAATGGAAGCTTGCTCTTATCGTGATGAGCATAATACCTGCCATCTTCCTAATTACGGGCGTGTGCATAGGCATGGATGCGCCCATCGAAGCTAGAGTGGTCAGTACCAGTGACAACATGTCTTGACGCCGTGGACTAACAACGTGCACACAGACCAAAATCTACTCGCAAGCTGGTACTCTGGCGCAAGATGCGATCAGCTCAATCAGAACTATTCACGCCTTCGGGGCTCACCAGAAGATCGTTGACGGATACGAGACTTACCTCCAGAAGGCGCACAAGGAGGGCAACAAGAAGTCCGTCATTTATGGCGTGCTCTTCTCCGGCCAAACATTCCTGGTTATGTCAGGTACTTCGCTAGCCTTCTGGCAAGGTTTTCGCATGTTCCAGAGCGGGGAGATTGGTGATGTGGGCACAGTCTTCACCGTCGTCCTGAGTGTCGTGCTCGGTGCCACTGCAACACTGCTCATCTTTCCGCAGATACAGGCTTTCACTAATGCCTCCTCGGCGGCAGGCGAGTTGTTCTCCATCATCGACAGGCCATCAGCCCTCGACCCACTCTCGGCAGAAGGCATGCAGCCATCCGACTGCGACGGGGAAATTATCATCAACGATCTACGGTTCGCCTATCCTGCACGACCCAGCGCACAGGTCCTACGAGGGCTGAGTTTGTCGATACCAGCGGGAAAGACGACGGCTCTAGTCGGGCCCAGTGGATGTGGTAAATCGACCTTGGTCGGTCTGCTTGAGCGATGGTACCAACCTGCTACTGGTCAGATACTGCTTGATGGTCGAGACATCTCCGAATACAACACGAAATGGTTACGGTCCAACATTCGCCTCATTCAGCAGGAACCTACCCTTTTCCAAGGCACAATCTTCGAGAACATTATTAAGGGCCTTGTAGGAGACCAGAGGGATCTGCCAGCGGAAGTGCAAATGCAACTCGTGCAGGAAGCGTGTAGGAACAGCAACGCGCATGACTTCATCGAGGCGCTGCCGGAAGGCTACCATACCCAAGTTGGAGAGCGCGCAAGCATGTTGAGCGGTGGCCAACGACAGCGCATTGCCATCGCTCGAAGCATCATCTCGAACCCCAAGATTCTGTTGTTTGACGAAGCGACTAGCGCTCTAGACCCCCGCGCAGAGAAGGTCGTGCAGAGCGCACTCAACCGCGTTTCGATCAACAAGACGACGCTGATCATCGCCCATAAGCTTGCCACTGTGATGGCGGCCGACAACATCATCGTCATGAAAGAAGGCCAGATCTACGAGCAGGGTACACATCATGAACTCCTCGAGAGCGATGGTCTATATGCGGCAATGGTGCGCGCACAAGATCTTGGTACAAAGGCCAACGACGAGGACATTGAGAAAGAGCTGCTGGAAACAGCAGATGTCGAAGACGCTCTGGACAGCAAAGCCCCCATGCGACGAATGCAATCGCAGTACAGCAACACGGATCTCGAGCGCGAAATCGAGCAGCTTGCTGCTGGGACTTTGGGCTACTCACTCATCAAGTGCGTTTGGATCATGCTGAAGGAGAACCTGGATCTCTGGGTTTGGTATGCCGCCACCATCATTGGGGGCATCATCGGCGGCGGTACCTACCCAGCCCAGGCTATCATCTTCTCTCGTCTTGTTAGGGTTTTCACACTGCAAGGGTCTGAGGCACAAGACGAAGCAAATTTCTGGGCACTCATGTTCTTCGTGCTGGCTCTCGCCAACCTCTTCGCATACTTCGCGATCGGTCTTGCATGTAACAACATTGGGCAGGCAATGACTCATCGCTATCGACGGGAAATGATCGAACGCATTATCAGCTTTGACCAGGAGTTCTTTGACCGCCCGGAGAACTCGTCTGGTGCGTTGACCTCAAAGCTGTCATCTGCACCGACAGCATTGCAGGAGTTGATGTCTGCGAATTTGGGTCTAATGTTCAACATTCTGGTGAACATCACGGCCAGTAGTGCGCTTGGCATAGCGTATGGCTGGAGGCTTGGATTGACGCTGGTGTTCGGCGGGCTGACCATCATCGTCGCTGCCGGCTACTATCGTATTCGACTGGACCAGAAACTCGAGAGTGCCACAGAGGAACAGTTCTCTGGCAGCGCGGGTTTGGCTACGGAAGCCGTCACCTCCATACGGACGGTCAGCATGCTCACTCTCGAAACCTCGATCATGCGGCAATACAGCGACACACTCCGGGCTATCACGGGCAAAGTCGTTAAGAATCTAACCTTTGCGCTGATCCCATACGCGCTTTCGCAATCCGCTGACTTCTTAGTCATGGCTCTAGGCTTCTGGTACGGATCGCGGCTAATTGCGAAAGGCGAGTACACTACGTCGCAGTTCTTTGTCATCTTCATCGCCATCGTCTTTGGTGGGCAGGGTGTCGCGCAATTCTTCATGTACAGCACGTCGATCACAAAGGCAGAAGGCGCCGCGAACTACATCCTGTGGCTGCGGACAGTCAAACCGACCATATGCGAATCCGATGAAACCGACGGGAAGGGGCCGCCATCTGATGGCACCATCGCCATGGAAGATGTTGAGTTCAGATACAAGCAGCGCAACGCATTCCGGGTGCTTAGGGGTATCTCCATGAAGATCGAGCCCGGCAAATTCGCTGCTTTTGTTGGCCCTTCAGGTTGTGGCAAGAGTACAGTCGTATCTCTGTTGCTACGCTTCTACGACCCGATATCCGGACGCATTACATTGGATGATCAGGATATCTCGCACATGTCCCCTCAGCTCTACCGCCGTTACATGTCGCTGGTCCAACAGGAGCCACCACTCTACCTTGGCTCCGTACGAGAGAATATTGCCCTTGGTCTCCAACACAAGCCTTCCGACGCCGAGATTCAAGAAGCCTGTCGCCAAGCCAATGTCCTCGAGTTCGTCGCTTCGTTACCCGAAGGTCTAGAAACACCCTGCGGGTCTAAGGGCTTGCAGTTCTCCGGCGGGCAAAGACAGCGCATCGCGATCGCAAGGGCGCTCATTCGCCAGCCACGATTGCTGCTGTTGGACGAAGCGACATCAGCGTTGGATACTCAGAGTGAAAGGATCGTGCAGAAAGCACTCGATGAGGCTGCGATGTCGAGGACGACGATTGCCGTCGCGCATAGGCTGTGAGTACATCCATGTGGAGATACAGGATGATCGATCACTGACATTGCATACAGGAGCACGATTCGACACGCAGATGTTATCTTCGTTATGGAAGATGGCATTATCGCCGAAATGGGTACTCATGAGGAACTGCAAAGATTAAGAGGAAGGTATTTCGCTACGTGCTTGGCGCAGTCGCTCGACCAAGCATGATTTGATACTTATAATACGAGGCTTTTCAACGCATGCAGATCGTCGCGATACACGTGAAGTCAGACTTTCTAAGGCGATTGTAATTGGCCGACGCGGTCCTTCTCTTTGACGAGAGCTAATTCGCATGTTCAGACCTACTAGTCCGCTCCCGTTTCTACAGTCGCCCCGCCTCGCCTAGTGTTTTGCTGAATACAGCAAGCGTTCAGCGGTCGGGAGTATTACCATACATCAAGTTGGCACCTACATTGACTGCCATGGTTACTCTCACAGAGCACTCAACGATATGTCTTCTTTAACCCGGAACTCCGAGCTTTCGCTGCTCGCCATGCCAACCAATGATCGGCCATCCTTCAGGGAGAGTTGCGAACGGAGGCAGTTCGTATCGACCATGGCAAGCGCCACTAGTGCACTTCAGGTTGCACAACCCAAGCATTTTGCAATAGCACACACTCGCATTGGGGCAGTGAATAGGGTCTTGCCCAAATATTACTACAAGAATTAGTACACTGGGAACTCCATGACCAGGGTGGGGTATCTTACTATGCCAGGAATACTCCATAATCCTTCCACTGATTGAGTCTTCCAAGGTTGTCCTCAGCAACAAATTTCGAATGCGCTCATAGTATTCAACCGGTTGTTCCTGTATCTTTTCCTTCGTAGCAGCGAATTGCGCGCAGCAAGAAACACCAACTGCCATTGGAATGTCGCGACCTGGGAAGATCACTTCAAAGGCTTGTTTGTAGAAATGACCCGCATGAGGCTGAGTGTGGGCTGCGTCTACTGCATCTGTGAGTGGGCGAATCTCGTGCGGGCAACCCAGAACCCATACACAGCGCAGGTTGAGATACCCTTTTTCCTGTAGGTAGGAAAAGCGAAACTTTCGCAGGATCGACAGACCGTCATAGTCCGGATCGTCGTTGTGCCATTGGTATCTCTCCGCGTGGAGAAAGAGAATGTTTCCTGGCAATTTGTGGTAGTTGTCGATGATGAAGCTATTTCAGAGTCAGCCCTTGCATAGCAAACGACATAATCGCGTAGGGTTGTATTCATACGAAAGATACACCATCGATTCACGACCCTTGTTCAACGGCACCGTGAGCTCGGCGGTTGGATCGTCCACCACATAGACATATTTGCGCCACTCTGGAAGCTCATCGTAGAACCAAGACGTATTCTCATGCTTCATGGAAGCGATGACTAGGGCCTTGTCAAACGGGCCTTCGTTAAGAGCGATGCCGCCATAAAGTTTATCGGGAACATTCGAGCTCAGTTTCCAGAAAGTCAGAACGGATAGGAGTACGAGACACGTAGCGATGAAAGGGTTTCGAATCGGTCGACGCAACGCGGACATGACGTTGGCGTAGAGTCTCATATTGGAATTGAAGATCGATGAAGAAGGAACGACGCACAAGTGCGAAATTTTATTCCATCCCTCCAGACATTAGGAGCAGCAGCACATGACTGTGGTGTACTTTGGTTGTTGAGATGAGATTTTACTAAGGACCATGGTAGCGATACGCTGAAGCCAAGGTTTACATTGGACACGTGATAGCGTAGAGTCTGCTCATGGATCAGGGCATGTCTGAGTGATATGCGCGGAATCATGACCACAGCAATATTACGAACGTGTCAGCAGCAGCTGAAAGGGTTCAGTTCCGGCCCCCAAAGTCATGCCGCGGCCAAGTCCAAGGATGGTTAGCCTCTGGCCCCGATCTCGGCTCGACGTGCATTAGCGTGATGAAAGATCGACCAGACGACAACAACACGCTGCGACACATCTTCAAGCACACAAAACGACGGATGTAGCCGCGAGAGCGCTACTTCGACAGATTCCAACGATGAGGATAACAAGTCACACCGGAGCTTCACAACCGGCTCTGATGTCCATCAACCTCGAGTCGCCAGACTGAGCGACGTGTTTCGTGGCGCCTCCGCTCAAATTCAACATGTGGCAAATCGACGCCATAAGCCACCCATAGTCCAGGAAATCGTCACTATCTTGTTTCAGCTGCAGCCACAACGAGACCTACTCCTATTACTGGAGGCCTTGCCGTGGGGCCAACGTGCTCTTGGCACGATAACACACCTACGAGACAGACCGCCCTCCCCCTCTCTTCTGAGCGCAACGATGATGGCGAAGCATATGTATTGGAAAGTCGCGGACTAACCCATCGATGTCTTGCAGCATGTGTATTTGCATATCTTTCGAGAAGGATTGGAAGAAACTACGAGCATGAGGCTAAGCGCCAGGCTGCCTGACAGCCTCAGGCCGAACCTCAGGCCGCTCAGCCAGTAATCCACATGCGCGCTGTAAGGCCCCCACCCTAAGATGGGCGATAGCCACTGCAATTGGTCTCAATATCGACCGCAGCACAATGGCGGTGCACGGCCTTTCAGCACACTATTCTCATAAGATCAGATCTGGGCCTCGCTCGCGTGTTTGTACGTCTCTACCAAACCATTCTCTAGACGCGTACCGAATTGTTACCTTCGGCCTTCAACACCAAATCCGCTTGACCGATGGCTGGCTCGTTCATCACGGTCTCGCGATGGGTCTTCTTCCTGTTCTGCCTTACTACGGTCACTTTTGCGCATACACTCAATAAGCCCCCGACACGAGCACTCGACCTTCGACCAAGAACTTCCCCCACACCACAGGAAGCTGCACTAAACATCAAGCGCGCCCTCAAGCAAGGACTCGAAGTCTTCAAACGCGATGTATGCGAAGATGCGTTTCCAGGCGAAGGCGCAGTAACAAATACCTGCAACCCCAGCAATACGCTCTGCTGTATCCGAAAGGGAGAAAGCTACCCCCAGTGCCAAAATCTCCTCAATAAGGGATGGTGCTGCATCGACAATCCCAATAGCGAGCCTGGCTGTTACGTCGACCAGCCATCTGTCTGTGAAGAAGCCGACTCGGTGCCATGCGCTAACCTTGAGGCTGGCGTAGATCAAGCATGCTGTCCAGGCCAGACTACATGCGCGTCGGGCTACAAATTCACCGAGAAGTTTGTACGCTGCCAGATTCTCTCGGCTGACCTCGTGTCACTTGCCAGCGCCAGCGCCGCTCCAACAAGTAGCTCGAGTATTAAGCCAAGCTCCGCATCGCCAACGTCCGAAATTACCTCGTCTGCGTCAGACTCAGCATCATCAACACCCTCTTCCGCCCCTGCTACAGCATCAGACGTCCTATCCAACGCAGCATCGAGCGCCATACCGCCACCTCCGTCTAGCAATTCGTCTTCGTCTTCCTCGTCCTCCTCCTTGTCAGGCGGAGCTATCGCGGGTATCGCCATTGGACCGACACTGGCGCTGGTAGTCGGCGTAGGCCTATGGTTTCTCTACAAGCGTCGACAGAAGAAGAAGTTGCAACCATATGCGCCGCCGGTGATGTACCAAGACGCGTACCCAAAGGCCGAGCTGGCATCAGAGCCCGTCATTCCTGGGCCCTACAAATATCAACATGCTGCCGCCGAGCCACCTCAGGAGATGCCTGTGCAGTACACCTACGAACTCGACGGCGGGGTTCATCGCGGACCGTAGAAGAGGAGTAATGCTGTTGCGAGGACACGCTTCTCTTTATAATGTCCATGGCTGCGGCGACACCCGAAATTCACGCCGTCATGCACTGTAGCCCCGTGTAGACGAGGGCACGTTGGCTTTGTACTCTCATGTTTAGATGTCTCGTATTCTTAATTTACTTGCCTCATTCCACCTGGAAATCTTAAGTTACCTGCACACCGCCATCCAAAGCCAGTATCTCCTCGCGTATAAGTCGTATGAAATTCGGAAGGTGTGGTTGGCTCGTCGTCTCTGGGTCGCCTCTGGGCATCGCAGTACCATGGGAAGATGATTATCACGCTGTCAATCGGCTTCGAGTTGACTGGTGTGAAGAGTGAAAGTGAATTAGACGTGCCTTCCTCGCTGCCTGTGGCTCGTACCCGAAGAGCCTCCAGAGCTCTTGCCTCCTACCTCTCGCGTCCACACCACACCAATTTCTTTTCGAAATCTGCCAAAAATCGCAAAAATGCGAGGACGCGGCAACCATCCGCAGGGCTTCGGCCAACGTCAAGTGCCGACAGGACCTCGACGAGGGAGCTACAATGCGCCATCTGGAGCACCTCGTGGCAGAGGTGGCTACAGTGCCAACCCCAGTGCCAACGGGTACAACGATGGGTCTGCCCATGGCAATGCCAGTGGCAGTGCCAATGCCAATAACAATGCCGACAACGGTCAGTATAGGCTGAAGCTCGACGTCATGTACTACCTTCGGCCCCACGACTGCGTCGACCAGCTGGAGATTCCGGCCGGCTCTGGAATGAGCCGCAAGGACACGACCTGTCTGCATTGTGGAGAAACAAACATTTACGGGCATGGCTCGTATCATTTGCTCCGCGACGGCTCTTGCCCTCGTCGCTGCTGCCGTTGTGGAACCATGAACCACCAAGGATGCGTAAGGCTTCTCCCCCATGCTGAGGTCCACCAGATGCTGATGCTCGATAGCTTTGTGACCGATATTGGCTCTCTGCTGCCTTCCTGAAGCGTGCGTGCCCAAGCGAAGGGATGCGTAGGCCCAGGCAAACTCGCCCATCGCCACTCGATTTGGAGGTCATTCGACGCGACTACCCAGAGCACCGCGAGTTTGCCGATAGCGTGCTGCCGCTTGCCGACAAAGGACACTACCATCCGTCACAGCAGGTGCCCAAGCGCTCACGGGGTGACGACGACGAACAACCGGAGCCGAAGCGATTACGGACTGATGCCGGTGGTGCCGAGATCGATAAGATGAGGGCGGACATGGATGCTCTCCGGGCCGAGAATGAGCGGCTCAAGACTGAGATTGAGCAGCTCAGGGCTGAGAATGAGAGGCTCAGGGATGCGAGTCGTACTTCTCCTCCTTTCGTTAAGAAAGAAGAAGTCGACGAGCATGATTTCAACGCTCTTAGCGAAGAGTTCGACAGACTCGTTGATGAAGAGCTTGCTCGAATAAGTCGGTGAGGTGGATGCCGAAGAGGACTATTTCGACAAGGCTGTGCGTTATTTGGAGGGCCAAGAGGTGACGGTGTCGTCGTCTCGTGATGACCGCTCATGAGTAAACACTTGTGAGTGTACACCTTTGAGTAGATGCTCGTGGGTCAATTAAATGCTCGTGAGAAAAGCTCACGAGGAAGAGGAAGAGGTCATCGCTGCGAATAGATAGAGGGTGCGGCATCAATGAATGTATTTGAATAATTGAACAATCAATCTGTGTGTTACGGCCAGCTTTTGCAGCACTACGCTTGAAGACATCCCGCTGGTATCTGCTAGATCGTGCGGCATGCCTCGTAATTCGAGCGGCGTTGTGAGAAGTGGTGTGTGGGAGATGATGTAGCGGATGGGGTGCGACTTCCTGCCCAAACCACCACAGCTACGTCAACGTTTGTCATCCGATTCTTCGTGCCTGCCCTCACGAGCGTGATTACCAAGTAGCGCGCACACGTCATGAACTCATTTCCTCAAATTGACTGCAACGCCATACCACTCACATCGAAAAAATGGCCTCCCACCTGCCTGACGATCCCGACGCGATTGAGCGCCTTCTTGAACCTCTGCGTGCCCAAAGAGAAGTCAGCAGACTGCGGCGTGAAGAGATCGACCAAAGGTTGGACAATTGCACCAGTGACCAGCGTTTTGCGGAGCTCCTGGAGAAAGAGAATTTGCCTAGCCGTCATGAACAACGAAAGAGGGTTCGCACCTTTGTCAAAACCCATCGTCTCGGGGTAACAACAGATCCAGCTGCCACAATTAGCCATCAGCATACCGACGCTAGGCAGGGGTCAGAGGTGCCAAAACTGCAAGGGCACCAAGATCCGTCTCGGAGGACAGTGCCAAAGAAGAGCGCAGGGAAACGGCAAGCCAGTGCCGAAGACGTTTTGCGCAGTCGATCAAAACGTCCATCTCGCCGCTCTGAAGAGAGCGACTGCCCGTTTGCTAGCGATGCCGAACCCGAAAGCTACGTGCCTACGATTGCCCCTTCGAAGCTTCGTGCCAAAGAATACCCAATTGCGATACTGTTGCCTGTCCAAGGTGGACGCAACGTCGTCATACGCAACGGCATTCCTGATCGGCTTACGACACTGCTTCGCAATGAAGTCAAGAAATGGCTGACGAACGACTTGTGCATCAGAGCTTGGAACGATGCCGATTCGGAAAGGAATGCTGCTTGCATGCTCATAACTGCAGAGAAATTGATCGTCTCTGATAATCTGCCGAAGGGCCAAGAGCCTACCAGAGCGTGCCGAAACTGCTCCACAAGCGTCGAGGACGGTGGTTTATACGACCCAAGGCCTTGCGCCATGCTACGGGCGGATGCAAAGGGGGAGTACATACTGGTCCTGCCCTTGCCAGAGGATCTGCGAGAGGGAAAGGGGTGGAAGGAGAGGGGTTTCTGGGTGAATGAGACGCCACGAGCTCCTTTCCCCCGGTTCGATGCTTTGCGCGCGTGAAGCGGTCACGATGACCCCGGCGACGGTGGCAGTCGAGTACGTCTCCGTGCCGGAGGCTTCACGTTTTGCTGACGGATCTGATGTGCCGTTGCAGGAAGTCTTGCTGCCAGAGGTGCTGTAGGACCATGGTAATTCCAGGACACGCTCGATGGATTCATCGACCGGTATGGTAAATGCGTGATGGGATCATCACGCGTTATGAGAGGACTTGATGGCGTCATCAAGCGGTAATTCCGATCGATGGATTTATCGATCAGGTTCGTTAGATAGTGTAGGCGTTGCCTTTGCCAATGCTATGCGTCGATATCTCATCATTCTCCACTCCATATCTCGTGTGATAGTTCCATGTACGCTCAGGTATGTAGCCAAGTATAGCAAGACGACGTTGCACAGGGGCAGGAACGAATTCACAGCTGTATTCTATAACGCCACCCATTCAGATGCAAATATGTTGCATGCTTCCAACCTTCATGCGTTTCTTGGTTCGCTAGAACTCATCATGACATTCCTTTTAATTCAGTACGCTGTATCCCATCAGGATGTCTCTTCCGTTTAGTTAACTGTACAGGCTGGCAGTCTCTCGATCTCATAACGAACACAGCTGGATGTTTAAAAAGAACAGCAGCCAGAGCGAACATGGGCTGCATATGTTGCTTTTTTTGAGTTTGAAGTATGGAACGCTGGTTGAAGAGAAGAGGAGAAACAACGGCGGGATTTTATATCCCTCTGGAAGGACAAGTTCTTGCCTGGGTTCTGCTTTTCTCATGTTCTTTGAGTGTCTTCGTTTCTTTGACAGAGCAGGAGAGAAAGACATGTCGGAAAAGCACTTGACATTTGGTGTCTGCACGACGCAGAAGATGTTTAAGAACGCGGGTTAAGTTAAGCATAGCTTTGTACATCTTAGCATAACCTCTTATAAGTTGTAATAGCAGTACGTTTCGAGACTCTCCCCTCCTCTAGACTTATGTAACCTATGTTTGTTTATCTTGGAAAAGAGAGAAGAGACATGACTTGGTATTCTGAGCATTTTGATACCTAGGATCGTGTGTAGTAGAAGAAGAGTGGAAAGCCGGGCGTGACGGCCGGGCTTTTATATCACCACAAGCTCAGCCGCCAGTCATACAACCTGGGTTGCGACATTTCAATGAAGTTTCGTCGCGCTCACCGTCAGCGACATATGCAGTGCATGGTGCCTTTTCTCGTTGTTCCGACAGAGGACATGCGTTGCTGACTTCGTATTTTTGATGAGGCGCGGAGCCGGCGATCCCATCAAAGAGGATTCCATGGCTTTTGGGAGAAAGAAGAGACTCGCGACATGATCACGTCTTCGAGATCTTTTGGTACCGCCACAACTTGTCATGGGGGAGGAGTGCGTAGATTTGCGAGAAGAAGAGCGGAGAAGAGCACATAGAGATTCAAGCTTGTGCTTTTGGTCGCGGAGATTGAATGGTGCACATTATAGGCAATCTCGGTGGTTTTGATAATGTCGCAGACAGAGACTGCAGCCATCCGGTCATCCTGACGGCGTTTTGTTGGCAGCGGCAAGTCATGAATCCTCTGTATTGTCGTTTTGGTAATTCCTCTTTTGTGAGTGAGGATATAGAAGAGAGGAAGACCGGGAGGAAGATGAAAGCTTTTATATTAGCCGCAGCACGAGAGAACCGAGCCATAGAAACACCTCGATTGCTTTTTTAATGTCTCATCGTACAATGACGAGGGTTTTGGTTGACACACATAGAAAGTGAAGACGAGGGTTTTGGATAGCTTTCCCATGGCGACCATCGACCTGCGATTAAGAATGAAGAGTCGTAGTTTGATTCCGCTACACATGTGGCAGAGGTTGTAACTTTTGAGTAAACACCCCAGAAAACGTCTTAGTCATGGCGCTGAGCAGTCGGATTTTTGAAAGAAGAGGCAGCCATGGGGAGATCCCAGTGACTTTTTGGAGAAGACCAGTAAAGGCTGTAGAAATTGTAGAAGACAAAGCAGAGCGAAAGGCAGTTGGTATTTATACACGCCTATGGCTGACGCTCAGACCGCAGCGACCGTCCCCGAACCGCACAAGCGTGGACTTGTCAAATCATGAGGAGGAGCAGACATGCCATGCAAGCATCTCGTTTTGAAAGCTCCAACATGTGGTAGTACTTTCCAGATTTGAGGAATACAGCATCATCAATCCTCGTGTTCGCACACGCACACAGATCATTTTGACGCCTGACAGATTTTTGGAAGTCGCAATCGCACAACATGAAGTCTTGATCATCTGTGTTTGAAGGACGAAATCTCGGGACAGCGGGCATTCTTAACAGCCATAACCATTCGCGATTTCCGTTTCTAGAAACACAGAGACATATGCTTTGTCGAAAGACTTTTCATATTTGCACAAGGACGAGTCGTGGCACATCCGAACGCGCTGTCCTATTTTGGACTGCAAGTCTGAAACGAAAGGAGCCTTTCTCCAACCCCATCAGACATCCGCTCTCGACTTTTGAATTTGAATGGACAAAGTTGAACACAGAGACAGAGAATCATATGTTTCTCGAATTGCGTTTTTGAGTCCATCGGCGTGACTGTTGCTTACTTTCTCAGGACATGACGAAGGCGAGGTAAGATTTAATCTTTTCCACACACATGGCAGGGTTTGTTGAACTTTTGTTACAGCGCCAAACCACACAGCCATCCTCTGCTCCTTTTGCGATTTAGAAGTCGCAGTCGCGGGACATAGAATGGAAATATGTAGTTTTAGGATCGAAATTCTGGATGTGGGAAGCGCGGAGGTCTTCTTGGCCATGGTTTGACCGGATCAAGATTTTGGAAGAGAGAACGCACATGTAAGACTGTGTACAATACTTTTTGAGAGAAGCCCTAGCAGGAAGTATGATAAAGAAGAAAGGTAGCGAGCGCAAGAAGACGGGTTCTTATACCCGCCAGTTCAGCTAGCGGCTTGCGAGGGAAGGAAGCCGCGGAAGTCATCGAACCATGCCAGGTACCTTTTTTGTTCTCCATAAAGCGATTGTTTGCGTTTTTCTCGAACACATGGAGCACTTCTCCGACTTTTCGGAATCATCACGAACGGCAGGTGCGTTTTTGAGATCGCAGAAGTCCGACAGTCTTCCCACTCATGAGCTCGGAGGATGGAGATTTTGGAAGAAAGACAGCACATCACAGTGTCGACTGAAATTTTTGGTATATAAAAAATTGGAGTGTGATGCAGAAGATCATAGCAAAGAATGCCGCTGATTTTATACACACAGACAAGCTGCCAGCAAGGACGGTAGTGATGTGAACGAAGAAACCAGCGCCGGGATGCATGAACGTGTCGCCGTTGTTTTTCTCTTCTGCCTTTTCGGAAGTTTCTGCTCTCTGCTCTCCAACATTTGAGCTCCTGACGAGTTTTTTGGAAAGAAGAGCGAAGGCCATGGTGAAGGATGTGTATTGTTTTGGACGGCGGACGCAGACATCGCCCTGAGCTGTTTGTTTTTTGGAAGAAAGAGGAGAAAGCCGCCCATGGTGGTCAGTGCCCACTGATTTGGAGAAAGCGAAGCAGGGCATGGGTTTCCAGTTCCTACGTTTTGGAAAATGATGGAAGGCGAATGTTATGAAGAAGAAAAGGATAGCGGGTGCGAGAGATGTACTTATATACCCAACACAAAGATGGGATGACTTGCGCACTTGCGAGGTCATGTGTATGACGCCATCAGAACTTCCAAAAGACATCCTACATGCTCACCTGATTGGTAATAACTCACAGACCAACCATCCTCCCGCACATCTGCGTTCTACCCTCCCATCTACGCTGCAGCACCCGCCTCCCCACTCTCCTCAACCCTCCTCTTCTTCTTCCCATGATGCCCCCTCGCCTCGACCCTCCCCTCAACCGGCACCACCCTCGTAGCCGTGAAAATGTACCCCTCCGCCCCACCCTTACTCGTCATCATAGGATGCGTCCTGCCAGGAAGAACCTGCCACTGACGCGCTCTTGCCGTCTGCAGACTGGGTGCGAGGACCAACGTGGGGTTGAGCGGGAAGTCGTCTTCTTCGTTGTCGGCTTCGGACGTGCCTGCGGGAGTGCTGACGTCTTCTTCGATCTTCACTCGTTTGCCGTTGGTGTTGCTATTACCGTTGGTTTGCGGCGGCGGCCCAAATTCGCGTGCGATGTACGCCGCGCGGCGTTCTTTCGAGTAAAGATCGCACAACTCCACCAACGGCTCAACATTAGGATTATACACCACAATCCTCCCACCCCCCTTGACAAGCGGCACCAACTCCCTCAACACAGTCTTCGCATCCATCGCCGTCGCCACCACCAACCCATCAAACCCACCCCTCTTCGTCTCATCCACCACACTCTTAACCCTCTCCCAGCGTCTGCGCTTCTTGTAATACGTACCGCGTTTCGTCGACTTCATGCTTGCAAGCACTTCTTCGGAGATTATCTCGGGCTCGTCGTAGGAAGGGTCGTCTTCGGGGTGGAGGAGGGCGAGCCAGGAGAGCGATTTGAGGTGTTTGTAGAGGGGGTGGGCGGGCGTGGGGTTGCCGTAGTCGTAGCCGAAGTATTTTAGGTAGGAGAGGTTGGGTTGGTTGTTGGGGTGCAGGACGGTGAGGGTGTTGGTTTGGGCGGACATTTGCGGGATGTGTGGTCGTGGGGGTTTTCGCGGGCGGGGAGGGGGATCTGAAGGGGTGGCTGTGGGGTCTGTGGTTGTTGTGGTGTCGGCGTCGGGCATGGCAGTGTCGGTGTCTTTGGGCTCTGGGGCGGAGGCTGGGGCTGATGTGCCGTTCATTTCGACGTCAGCTGCCTCCTCTTCCGATGACGAGTCATCGTATTCGTCCTCCGGGTAGAGGATGCCCATCTTCTCGGCAAGTGCTGCTGTGACAAGCCCTCCGGTGTCATCTACTACGAGCCATCGCCCTCCTCCTACCTGGCTGACTCCATCTTCTGCCATGTGAATCTGATTTGTCGCCCCAGAGTGTATATTTGCCCAGCTGTTGATCAAGCCCAGTAGATCTTCCCTCAGCTCCATGATCTTGTATGCCTCCTTCTCCAAGACATATTCTGTGAGCAGACCAACATCCATGGGCAGGGCGGTGAAGCGTTTCAAGTATTTCTTCGACTTCCGCAGGGTGTACTTGGCCAGCGAAAAGCTCGTCTTCTCGTCGATCGCGTTGTGGGAAGCCATGATCTTGGCGATGATCTCTTTGCCAGAGCCGGCGCCTGCCTTCTTGAGCTCTTCGATCTCAGCCATTGATAGCGCCTGCCGCGAAGCATCGTCAACGGTCAAGCGATTATTGCGCATGATGACCTGCCCATCTTCTCCCACAATGTCGAAGCCCGTAGCACCCGCAGTACCCTCGGCATTCTCTTCGCTAGTTTCTGCAGCAGGCGCATGGTCGCTACCTAGAGCTTCGGCGTGGAGTTCGGAAGCGGGCACGACGCGCAGCTCCGTCTTGGATTTGCCATCGTCCTTGTCGAGCAGTTCGTAGGTGAGATAGTACGGGCGGCCGAGGAGGAGGTTGGAGTTGAAGGTGCCGAATTTGCCGAGATTGATGCTCCTGTAGGGCGTTTAGAAAAGATTCTCAAACATATGCACACGGAGGGCTCACTCCAGCTATGCGACGTACGTATTCGGTGTGATTTCGACGATCTTGAAGAGGCCTGAGGGCAGTCGCAGCGCAACGTGCGTATTGGGGCGGACGTGGGAATGCATGGCGCGAATGTGGTCGCGGTCCTGTGTTCTTTACTATTCCATGTGTAGCAGTAGCTAAGAGTGTGTCGTATCACACTTCCAGTCCCGTTCTGCACGCGCAAAGGTGAGGTGGAGCTAGTGAATTTGTCGCAAGGAATAGTTCCGAGGCGCACCGCCGCGTCTTACTCAGCCACAGGCTCAGCCACACCCTCGCACCAGTCGTACGTCATCGCCATCGCGACTTCTGCTACTTGGGCGTGTCACTCGGGTCCAACACGTCGCTTACGTCTACTACTTTGCTTCTTTCGCTGGAGTCCTGCTTCAATATCAATCTCCTTCACCCGCCTTCCTCATACTGCCGCGCCACGCCCACTGTCGCGAGAACCCCCCCATATCCCACACCAAGCCCCAGGGCACTGCAAACATGGTGCTACGAAAGTCCGACGAAGCCGACGACGTCGTTCCAGCGCCGCTGTCCAAAGCGATACCCCCGTATCCCACGACGCCCTCTGACGAGCACCCGCCTGCCTTTCCCGTATCGCCCGAGCGTGCCGTGAACCCGCCCAGCACAAGCAAGTCGCCAGCGTTCAACATCAAGACGCCCGAGGAGACGCGACTTCCCGACGACAAGCACGAGAGCGACTCGGACCTGAGCGAAGACGAGTGGAACCAGTCGGATGATGACTTCGAAGACATCAACCACAACGACGTGCCTGCCGCCCTGAAGCCGGCTGCTGGAAAAAGGCCACCTGTGCCAAGTACAACACACATCACCAGCGGCCTTCCCGATGCTTTGAGGCCAGGGCCGCCGGCAGGTATCCCCATCAAGCGCTCACAGGAAAGCATCTCGGCCACGCCCACCGGTGCCAGCGCGGCTTCCTACGGCGCAGCCAGCACCGTGTCCGAGCAGTCGAATGGCTCCATCCCGCTGAAGACCAACAACCCCTACCTGAAGATGCAGACGACTGGACAGAACAGCTGGGACGGAGAGAGCAGCCAGGCTATCTGGGGCGATGCGCCGAGCCACGCCCACAAGTACGAGGCGCCCGTCGAGCTCCCGGCCTTCCAGACGCCAAGTACCCCCACCCACGACATGAAGAACCTTGGACTAGATGACCATGCCCCGTCTACGCAGTCGACAGCACCAGTAGAGCCGCCTGTCATTGCTGTGAACTCACCTACACCCCGGTCGGAGCATGCAGACACCTCCCTCGATACGAATCCATGGGAACCCGCCTCGCACGATGCTCATACTGACACTGTACCCTGGACGGCACCGCCAAGCGATGCAGCTGCCCGTAATGAAAGCTCACACAACATTCCCGCCCCAATCATTTCAAATGCGAATATCGTAGAGCAATCGCCTCTTCCACCTCAATACACGCCCGAGCAAACACCACCCTCATCCGAAGAACCTCCACCTGCGCTGCCGCCAAGAAGGTCGCACGAGGATATGGCGCCTGCAATGCCTCCTAGACCTATCGACACAGGTATCGGTTCGTCCGCTCCTCCTGGCTTGGAATCGCCCAATACGACAATGGAGAGACAGAGGAAGGAACACTACCAAATCAAGCACATTCGCTGGCTTGACCACACGATCGAGGACATGCGCGTCTCGCCCATCCTGACGCAGAACCTGAATGGCCCCTGCCCTTTGCTGGCTTTGGTCAACGCACTAGTCCTTTCGACTCCTGCTAGGCTTGACACTGCGCTTGTTGAGACATTACGCACACGCGAGACAGTCAGCCTGGGACTACTGCTTGATGCCGTCTTCGACGAGTTGATGTCCGGTAGACGGGGTGATGCTGCGCAAGCTCTCCCCGACGTGAGCGAGTTGTACAAGTTCCTCCTCGCTCTCCACACAGGTCTCAATGTCAACCCCATGTTTGTCCCGGACTCCAACACCCCGGATGCACAATCCACGCTCACGAGCCGAGCTGGCGCTTTTGAGAACACTCAGGACATGAAGTTGTACCGCACTTTCAACATCCCACTGATGCATGGATGGCTGCCCGAAGCTGGATCCGACGCTTATGCTGCCTTCAGTCGCGTAGCAGCGTCATACGAAACATCACAGTTTGTACAGTTCCAGGAGGAGGAGTTGAACGCGAAGTTAGGGGCGGGCGAGTCTCTGAACGAGGACGAGCAACAGATGTTTACGGACATCCACGCCATCAAAGAGTTCTTGATGCGTTGGCCAACTCAGCTGACCGACCATGGTTTGAAGGTCATTCGCGATAACCTCCAGCCCGGTCAAGTCGCTATCCTGTTCCGAAACGACCACTTTTCGACGCTCTGCAAGAACCCTCGCAATGGCGAGCTCGTCACTCTCGTCACAGACCAGGGCTACTCCACCCACGACGAAATTGTCTGGGAGTCTCTTACCGACGTCAACGGCCAAGGTAGCCAGCTCTTCTCCGGCGACTTCCGCTCCGTCGACAACAGCAACACATCCGGCCTACAAGACCAGCACCAACCTTCCAGCGTCGACAACGGCCAAGGCTGGACCACCGTCCCCGCCCGCCGCGGCAACGCACAATCCAACATCCCCCAAGACACCGACGTCACCTCCCCGGAAGCGCTCAGCCGCGCCGAACAAGAAGACCACGACCTCGCCCTAGCCCTCCAGCTCCAAGAAGAAGAAGAAGACCGCGAGCGCCGCGAAACGGAACAACGAAACTCCCGCAACAACCAACTCTCCATGGACGCTATAAACGCTCCTCCCCAGCCGCCGCGAAACCAGCAGAACCCTGTCATTCCACCCCGCCGTAACAATAATATTACGGGGCATAGACCTGCTGGGGAAGCGGCTCCGCCGCCGTTGTACGAGGAGGCTATCACAAGTCCGCAATATGTGCCTCCGGCTGGGCATCCCGCGAGTGCGCAGGCGCCGGTGCCGGGGCAGGGTGGCAGTGCGTATCAGAGTACGAGTGGCGGGTTGCCGGCGCTGCCTGGCGCGGGGAGGGGCAGGCATGGTAATGTTTTGCCTGGACGGATGGGCGGAGGGAGGAGACCGAGTCAGGGGCAGCAGGGACAGGGGCAGGGACAGGAGGAGAGGGATAAGTGCGTTGTTATGTAGACGCGCTCTTGCCTTCCCTTTCCGCCTCTTTGGTTACGCTGGGATCTGTTTGATTATCTGCTGACATGTCATATTAGAGATTCGGAGGAGGTGCCGTGTTCGTGGTGTACGGTTAGTTAGTATCCGTTGTGAGCGCCCACCGAGGGTATCTAGATGTTGTTGTGATTGTGATCACGGTGATGACTTGGGCGTTTAGTGGTGTTGGAGTGTTTATATACCCGTTATCCTTTTTGCTTTTCATAGTACGCGGTGGGTAAGGTGTTTGTTGCATCAAGTTGGAAGCAGTATTATTAACCCGAATTCCTATTCATGACTTCACCACTCTTCAAGGTTCGTTGTTGTATGTGATGTGACACATTCATCGTCCTTGTTTTGTCCATCCAACTATGCATAACACGAAGCTTCCCACTAAATCTACGAATTGCCAATCTGCCTCGCCCTCTCCCTCCCCTCCATCCGTTTCAATTCTTCATCCCACTCCTCTTCTTCCTTACTCTTCACACTCTGTCCACTACTTTTACTCCACATACGAGTGTGTTGGCTTCCAGCTCCAGTTTTACCGCCACGGGACTGAACGGCTTCTTGGAGTAAAGTTGCTTTACTCACGCCCCCACTTGCACTCCTCTGTTTCTCCTTCCCATCCTGCTTCTCATACCCCTCGATGGAGGAGGACGATAACGCAACATCCCGCCCCTGCCCCTGCCCCTGTCGTTTAACCATCTCAATGAACGACGACGATGAGGGTACAGCAGAAATCTGACCTAACTGCCGTTCATAAGACGTAGTAGCTTGCCTGTTATACCGCGGCATAGGCATGCCCATCTCCTCTTCAGCCGTCGGCCGCGGCGCCGGCGGCCTCATATTACAGTACGGCATCGGCGGAGGCAGTGGCCGTTTCGTTAGTGGTGGGCGGCGCGGTGGATCGAGACGCAGTGTTCCTTCCTGATGAATAACTGGAGTCGATGCCGGAGCACGAAGTGTTGACAGTGCAGACATCTTGATCGGGGCATGTGTCGGTGATAAGGAGGATGTGCGTTGGGGGTGGATTGGCGGCGTGCGGGGGGTCGGTGTTGGTGTCCTTGTAGGAGAGTCGTTGGTGTCGTAGTCGGAGGCGTCGAGGTATGAGGGGTTGTTGGCTTCATCGAATGGGTTGGAGGGGTTGTGGTCGTAGTCGTTATCGGATATCTGGTTCTCGTCTTCGATCTCGTCGATCTCGTCGACCTCGTCATCCATGGCCATGCTAGAAGGCCGACTATCGCGTTCGACGATAGAAGCAGTCTCGCAGCGCCAACTAGCTGTGCTGGTGCTGCCGCCACTTGCACCTCTGTTCCTATCTTCCCCTTGTGACAAGTCGACATTGTCACGCCAATTCGCAATGCCATTATCGTTGTCGTGACCTACTGTCCTCAGAGCAGGATGCACAAACCCATTGATCGTCAAGCCATCGCCCTCCGTATCCTCCTCCTTCTCCTTCTTATCCGCCGTCTTCCCCTCTGCAACGTCTTCGTCACCGCTGTCATCCCCCTCAGTATTAGAAAACCACCTCAACTGTCTCGGCTTACCAGTCCCCGCCGGCCTGCCCAACCGCCCATCCCCCCTCATCTCCACCCTCTTCCTCTCCATCTTCTTCAGCTCCTCAGCCCACCCGCTCAAATCCTCGATACTGGGTCCTTTGTGCCTCGTCCCCCTTTCCTGCGGGCTCATCGTACTAGCCGCACTAATAGAAGGATTCGCAAGACTAGTGTTGATCCAGAGACTACCCTGTCTGTTACGACGGGATGCGGAAGAGGAAGGGGTGGCTGTGGCGTTGCTGCGGCGGATGCTGTGGGCGTGGGAGGGGGGTGGTGTGTAGATGTTTGGGTTGGTGGCGTTGGAGAGGGTGTAGTTCCGGGTGCGGAGTGGTAAGGTGTCGGAGCTGGGGTCGTGGGTTTGTTTGATGGGACTGCTGGATGAGCGTTGGGTTAGGCCGAGGCTGTCTTCTGTAGCGCTGCTGCGAGCGTTCGAGCTGTTGGTTAGTGTCAAGGTGAGGTCGAGCGTAGAGCTGTTCGACCGCAAGGAACTGCCATCGCCATCTCCCAGGCTTCGAACGAAGTTACCGTACTCATACCCCTCGTCGCTACCTTCACTTTCCCCATCCGCGGCAATGTCGGCGAAGTACTGACAATCATCCACAACCTTTACAGCCCACGCGAGCTTGATACCCTTCTCCCCAACCGCAACCTCTCTACTCTTCCGCCTATCCTTGTTCATCTTGAGTAAATCGCGCTGAGCCTCCAGTATAGTCGTCAACTCCCCCGTCTGCGCATCAAACTGCAGCCAGCTATCCACATCATCCAGTTGGTCTCGCCGGTAAATGCGATATTGCTTCGCGCCTGCCGCTTCGTCATCCGCGTGGGAGTCGAGCTTTTGGGGAAGAGAGGCGTCGATGTATGTCGACAGAGGTTGATGTAGTTTCAAGGAGCCGAGAGTGAGTTGAGCGGCGAGAAAAGTGTCTTTTGGGCGCACCATGGAAGGGTGTATGACATCGTTGTCGCTGTTGAAGGAGCGGCGGAGTGTGTGGCGGCTTGCGCAGACCTTGAGGGCCATTTTTGAGACGGAGGCTTTGAGGTCTTCGTAGGTGGCTTTGGCTTCGGCGTCTATAGAAGGAACATTAGGAAGCCATGGCGAAGGCGGGACGGCGGTAACAGGTGTCGTTGGAATCGGTATAGCCGTAACAGGCGTCTTCGGTGAAATCAGTGACTCCCAAAACCCGCCTTCTGCGAAAGAGTTCTTGACAGGCCCAGCAGTAGCAGACCGCGGTGTCCCAGGGCCCGAAGACAAGATCTCCCATCGCGGCCGCGGTGTAGTCGGACTCGCAGTTTCGAAGCGCGGAAGGTGCGCTGGCCGAAGTGGATGAGCACCCGTTGGCGCAGTCCATGAAGACGAGCTGTAAAGGAGTAGTTGCCGTCCACCTGGTGTGACGATCGAGTGTACCGGCGGAGGAGGAGGACACCACCCAAGCACCTTCATACAATGTTCCTTCTTAGCCCGCAAAATATCCTTCTTCGCCTGTCGCCATTTCGCCTCGGTGAAGCGCTCTTTGTTCCAGTATATGACTTCCTCCCAGAACCTCAAATGTTGTTCCCTAGTCAGACTTTTCAGTCCCGCTGCTTCGTGTTGGCTGATTGCCTTGCCGGTGGCGGGCGAGATGGCGCTGTCTTCTTTTGTGAAGACGCGCTCCAGTGTGAGGACTCGTTCTGGCATTCTGGACGTATATGGGCGGGTTTGAAATGTAGATGGGAAACTTTCGTGGGTTGCCACAGGAGTGTCTGGCGGCGTGCTCGATAATCCCTGCGATCTGGCGAGCAGATTGAGTGTCATAACCTCTCGCGGGTTGTTTGGTCGCGTGAAGGGAACACGGGATTAGCTAATCGCAAGAGTTGCGCTCGGGGCAGCGTAGGCAACCGCGTGGGAAAGATTTGCGATTTGATGGGGAAGTCCCGTCACGAGCTCCTCACTCGCACTGTGAAGTAATAGAGCAGTGTCTCGCAACGGAAGTAAGAAATGTCTTGGGTCGAGGGTGCGCTGTGATTGTATTTGTTGCGTGGTACGACTATCGCGCGCTACGACCATGAGCAAACGCGCAAGTCGGGGTGAAACATACTCGGTGAAGAGACACTGTCGACCTAATGCGGTGAGCTTGCTAAGCGAGTAGAAGAGACTGATGTCATGGTGGTGAAAGTCCGACGGATATGTAAATATAATATTGACCTGGAAATTTTGTCTAGGTGGTATCCAACTCCGCTAATGCGAATGCGACGTCTAGTCTAAGAAAGTAAAAAGGTTTGTATGTACAACATTGAGAGCGCGGTCGGCCTCGCGCTCTTCAATGACACAAGAGATGTTGATCTCGCTGGCGCCTGGGAAAGGTTAGTAATGAAGTGTCTTTGCAATAGAGGACGACTTACCCTGAGAAATCATCTCGATGTTGATGTTGTTCTGGCCCAGCACGCTGAAGAATCTGCCAGAGATACCAATCATGTTCTTCAGCTGCTTACCGACCAAGCTCACAATGGCCATGTCGGGCACAATGTCAATAGTGCCGAGCTGACCAAGGTCATTGACGGCACCTTGAAGATCCTTGCTCTGGATCTTGTACTCATCCTCGCCCCCACCACTAAGGAGGGCAGACTCCGAATGTAGAGCCATGGACACGTGGACCTCGGAAGAAGAGATGAGGTCGACAGAAAGGTGCCATCGATCGAGGATGCTGAAAATGTTCATCAAGAAACCATGGGCACGCGTGCGCTTGTTGCTGTGCACGTTGAGCACGACGATGTTGTGCTTGATGGTGACAGCAGTAGGGCGCTTGGGGCCTTCGAGCTGAGTGAGGAGGCTCGCGGAACGAGTGCGGAACAGCTTCCCGTCTTTCAGGGGCGCACGACCGTCGATGTCCTTCAGGTTATCCGGGAAGATGATGGTACCGGCATTGCGCGGGTTCATGACATTCTTGATGCGGATAGGAATGCGGGCGCGGATGACCTGCTCCATGGTGAAGGGGTGGATGACCTCAGACCCGTAAAAGGTCAGCTCAGCGGCCTCGGAGGGCGTGACGGTGGGGAGAAGAGCGGCCGTGGGGACCTTGCGAGGGTCTGCCGTGAAGATGCCGTCCACCTCCTTCCAGACCTGGAGTTCCTTGGCCTGGGTACCGACGGCCACCAAAGCAGCGCAGAGGTCGGTGTATCCACGTCCAATGGAGTTGAGGAGTCCGCCGGGCACGTTTCCAAAGTATCCAGTGATAACGGGCACCTTGTCGCCGCACGCTGCCACCTCTTTGCCCAGGTCCTCGGCCAGGTCCTTGTAGAACTTGTCGTTGAGCCCGCCCTTGATAGGCGCATGGAGCCTGACAATGTCGCTGAGGTCGACAAACTGGGCCGGAGTGCCGCGATCGTTCAGAATGGCGGCCATGTACCGACAGCTCAGCTTCTCGCCCTTGCTGATGATCTTGTCCTCGGCGCGGTTCGTGACTTCCTCCAGGTGCTGCGCGGATTCCAAGATCTTGACGAGGCTCTCACACTCGGCATTGACCTCCTCCGTGTACGACGCCAGGATGTCCGGGTTCCTCAGGATGTCCTTGCCGGCCTGGATGTGGTCGGTGCGGATGGCCTCGACGATCTCGTCATAACCGCGGTGGTTGGGCTTTTCGGCAGCGCGGGCGGCGCGAAGGAGGCGGTTGGTGGTTCCCTCGAGCTTGGTGTTGCTGCTGCGTGCGGAGCAGACAATGGCGGCGCGGTTCGTCGCAAGACCAGCTCTGTTTACTGTCAGCACCTTCCGTCTGGTGGGGGTTGGGATGGGTCGCACTTGACGATGCCCGCTATGTTCTCCGCAAACTTGCCCACGCTCGTGCCCCCGAACTTGAGGACGACCCAGCCTCCAGGGAGGTGCTTCTCTTCTGTGTGAGCTATCCGCTCCGACTCGTGTGTGGTTCCGTTTGTGTATGCAGACATGGTGGTGTTGTGTGGTTTCTCCAAGCAATTGGCGAGGTAAAGTTTCCTAGATGTTGGTATATATCAATGATGTATGGAAGACGTGTTATTTTCAGTAAGTGACGTGTGTTGTGTCGTGTGAAGTCTGGAGTAGCGGAGTGAGGGAATTCTCAATGTCTTTTAGTGGGGCCTGAGTCAGAAAGTCCATGTTCGCGCCCGCAATCGGCGCCGGCGCTGCTGACGCCATGCCAGCGAACCACGACTCCACAACCCACGAACATGCACACACACCTCAACGGAACGGATCGGTGCATGCGCATGTCCTCCCGGTAGCCAATGGTGCGCTCGCTATTCCGCTACTGCGCCTTTGTCCGCACCCTTCGCAGCCCACGTCTCAACACCACGTCCTCTGGTGCCTCTGATACCTGACAGCTCATTCCTCTTATCGCGTCCTAGCGCGTCGTCCAAATTACCGTGTCGTCCGCGTCCGACTACGTGCCGGTAGTTGCTCTTCGGCCCATCGGCTATTCGTCCTCTATGTCTTGTGCACCACCTGTGCGACACTTCAGTAATCACGGTATTATCTAGCCATCTCTAGTCAGCGGCGAATTGATCCGATGATGTCCACGTCCATACATCGGGAACATGAGTCTGGGAATCCGTCGCTCATCAACGACGTTGCGTAAATCAATTTTGGAAACCCGCTTCGCTAACCCCTAGTATACTCTAGCAGATCTCGAAAGGTTGCCTCATCCTCAATCTCAAGCGCTCGACTTTGCAGGCTTTGCAGTTCCTCCCGGCCGTAACTACCGCATGCCAATAATTTACCAGCAATAGTTCGATACCCTCTACCAACTGCTTCAGCTAGAGCGTTCCCTATCTCTGCATTGTACTCTAGAAGAAGAGAAACAACAGCAAACTGTCCATACCGTACTGCTGTCTCCAACGCCGGTTTACATGTATCCGCACCATGTCCTAGCAACACCCGAACTACTTCCTCATGTCCGTTCCGACAAGCGCCTAGAAGGGGTCGCTTCTCGTACTCACTAGACGAACCAAAGCCGTCTACACGGGCGCCAAGTGCAAGATAATGCACTGTTATATCCACCCACCCATTCCTCGCGCTACGCACTAAGAACGCCGTGTATTCCTCAACACCAAACGTTCTGGTAACGCAGTGTTCTATTCGCTTCTTGACAAGGAAGTCATAAATCTCCAAACTGGGTGTGTCCAGCGCAGCCAACGCTCGTTCGTTCTGACACCAGTAGGAAGGTCTCTTGGTCTTTCTGCCAAGCATCCACGGACGTTCCACGGCCTGGAAATTCCACAAGAACTGCGTCGTCTCTACACGCCCATACTTGGCGGCCTCGATGAGCAAGCGCATTCGCATATACTGAAAGTCATAGTCATACCTCAAGTTCAGCATAGCGGCAAGAACCTCGTGATTGCTGAACCTACCAGCGTGGAAGCATCCCGAACCAAAGAGCCAACTTGGTTTATTGAAATGTTTTCCGTGGATGGTCCATCTCGCGACAACAGGGAGTGTCTGTGTGTACAGGGCAGCAATATAGATATCGGTGTCCAAGTCGCTACCATATAAAAGTCCGTCGTGCCAGAACTCAGCAGCTAAGTCGGTTGTCCACAGTTCGTCTAGGCGATTGAATTCCTGCAACACAAGGGGGCATAGCTGACGAATGTAGTCGTGCTCGTTTCGCTCATCGTCAGTCTCTTGACTGAGACGATTGGCAACGCTGCGGATCCAGAGTAGAACAGGAGCTCCGTCACGTCGCTCGTTCAATACCCGGCGCTCAAGATAAGCTATAAGCATAGTAGGTGCAGCCTCGTCGCTAAGATGTAGCAGAGGCCGAAACTCGGCATCCAGAAGCTTGTACAGGGCAAGTGCCCTCATAATTTCCCCAGCGAAGATCTCTACATCCGCTCGTTAGCACAGGAACCTGCGCAGAAGATGGCAGATGGAAGCCTACTATTCACAAGCCGTAATCGAAGGCCGCGCTTTGTTCCCCGCACCGAGATCGCCCAGCCAAGGATTTCGTGCAAAAGCTCCAATGGCAGATCTAGCAGATGCATGGTGGATAGAGTGGTTGGCTTTGTAAACAAGATAGCTGTTCGGGAGGAGAAGAAGATTTAACAAGCACGTAAAGCGTTCAGCGGCTCTTGTTGTTCAAACACATTCGGGCCCGAAAAGTCGCGCTAAGAGGATCCCGGAAACCACTTGATTGGCTACTAGTAGCGGCGTAAGCTGCTGCCTGCGATCGCCTTTTCAACCTGAACAACAACCATAATACAATTACACGCATCCCATTACCTGCTCGCATGCTGCTGAGACCCAGCAAATTTCAGCGCACAGTTTCAGAGCTAAGATATGGCACAGCCCAATTATGGCGTGTGGACCAACGATGTTCGCCTTTCCGGAGCTTCGAAACTGGCGCACACACGGCACAGTCGCCTTCGCAAATCAACAGCCACGCATCGAAGGATCATGCAGGGGATAGCAATGCGTTATGCCATCTCACTCCAGCATTGCACATATAGAGCCTGCTGATGCCGACGCGTTATGATTGAAGTATTTAGCCCTGACAGGCACTTCTCGCTCGGGGCTTCTCTACCATTACGTCAACTACAGCTCCTTTGCCATTAATCTACAGATTTCCCGTTATGGCAGGTATTGATGATGTTCGCCACACCATATCGACAGTCGGACCCGACCACCTTCCCACGTTCAACTATTGGGATACGAGAGACCCTTGGGGCCCACTTACGACGCCATGGAGCCCGCCGTCTTCATGTTCTACCAGCTGGGCACTTCGAAGCCTGGGTTCTTCCATCTCTGTTATACCTATGGTGCCCTCGGACTGTTTGCCTGATCGGTCGCGTACACACAGCCCTGGTACATGCTATGGCGACTACCATATCGTTCAAGTCATCGAATGGAGGACATCAGATTGGACGTCTGGGGGTAGTCGCGCGTTTGGTGTCGCGTGTTGTGAAAGGTAGGTACAGGTGCTCCACCACCCCGGTCCCTCCATCATAAGCTGTCTCCTGCTGACACGGACATTAGCGGCTTTAGAAATACAGACATTGCCTTTGCCTGGTGCGAGTCATCGTTCTCCACGCCTATCACTGCGTACCCCACCGAGTGGTTCGAGTCCAGAAGCGAGATCGTGACCCAAACGGATAACGCCACGGTTCTTAGCAGTGGGATCGCGTCCGTAGAGCCTATGGCAGCCTACTGGCAGGAAGCAGATCTCTCGAAATTCGATCCCGACTATGCGGCCATACTCGCATCGAAATTTGATCTTGACTTTACTCCGACAGCTATAGTCACAGCCGATGGCACAGCCGAAACAGCGTCTCCGCCAGATCGAAGTCAGTTCCCATCAGCGACGTCGTCGTCCCTCGAGATGGGCTCTAAAGATTCTATCGGTCTCAGTAGCGGCGCTAAGGCGGGCATTGGTGTTGGGGTAGCCTTTGGAGTAGTACTACTGTGCGCCGCTGGTTTCTTAACTTACAGGAGACGCGTTCAGAAGGTGAAGCTCGATAGCAAATCTGCTTTGCAGAACGAACAACCTGAATTGGTTCAGACACACACCACATAGCTCGCAGTGTTGACAGTATGCGCGTCCGCCACAGTTGGGCGGAGATGGAACTGTAAAGGCTAGATGGAGCTTGATGCGATAGCGCAAAACCAAGAGGAGGAGATGCCTTAATGTCGTACGGACATACACCAGCAAGAAAGAAGGCGTCTTGGCAACGATCGTTCGAAGTCCCCATACAGGAACAAAATTGGACAGGTCTGGATCCTACATCGACGTTAGGCCACCTACTTCATATGTGTTCATGTTGATGTAGGCTGCAGACCTGTTTGTCTTTTTCCTAGGTTTGACCTGCGACGAGCAACCGTAATGCACCATGTCTACAATATTATGCACCTGAGTGCTTGCCGTTATTGCGCCAGGGTCAATTGAAGCGGCTGTGGAACCAAGATGCGGCACAGCCCTAGGCAATGTTCAACAGCCAATGATTCGACCCTTCCCACGGGCCGCACTGGCCTCTGTCTCATCCGCATCTACGGCGTAGTCAGCTCTGCAAATTAGCCATCAAGGATCAAATCACCATGCAGGAGACTATAACGCGTTCTGTTGCGACGCGTTATGATACAAGTACCCGACTCTTCAATTTGGTACAGCTGCGGACCAATTTTGGCCACTTCAATCGCTACCGACTTCTTCCTCTATCAGTTGCTTCCACAATTGTCACCATGGCGGGTCTCGAAGATGCTAGTCTCACAATCCAAACACTACGCCCCGTCGATTACTTTCCAGCCAATGATGTTCTCCATCATTATCTACCAGTTCCGACTTCTTTCACGTTCGCGTCAACGTGTACCGACCAGTGGATGATTATGGACTTCATCACACAGACAGACCTCAACAACCTCTTTCCCACCTCATGTCTACCTCTTGGTGGGCCCACCGCCTACTATAGCCCAGGCACTTGCGTTAGCGGTCACCACATCGCTGCGCTGACCGAGTTCAGAACAGCGCGTTGGACGACAGGGGGCCTGCGCGCATGGGGTGCTGTTTGTTGCAGAGAGTATGTCTTCGTACCCAGCTATCGTGGGGCCATTCCCCATAGACACCAACCGAGTTATTAGAGCTGACAATGACAACAGCGACATGTCATTTGATGCAGACGACGCGATAGTGATTTCCTGCAGATCCAGATTTACCACACCCGTCACCGCTACAACTTCCCCCAGATTCGTCCCCACTGCTGGAGATATGAGGAGCACAAAGGTAATCGATGTGGGAACTCAATTCATGGACCCCATGTTCGTGTACTGGCAAGAGACCGACCTCTCGAAATTCGATCCTGGATATGCGGCGACACTAGCCGCGAGACTAGACATCGACTTTACGCCAGCAACCACGTCCGAAACGGCGCCCTCGTCAGACCGCAGCCAATCCACTTCAGCTACTTCTTCGGCGGACGATGGTGGCGAAAAGTCATCCAACCCGGATCTCAATATCGCCGCAAAGGCAGGCATAGGCGTGGGCGTCGCTATCGCGGCTGTCCTGGGGGTTGTCGCCGGACTTGTATTGTACAGGAGACACGCTCGCAAGAAGGCGAGGCTCGACCGGAAAGCTGCTTTACAGAACGAACAACCTGAACTCGTGCAGACACGCGCTGCATAACTCCACCTTGCCGACGGCGACCTCTATATCCCCACATCGAGATAATGCAGCTGGGACTCGACGAGTTTAACTGATAAAGGATGCGATCTCGTTAGTCTGTGCCCATGCGATACTCTACAAATCATTGGTTCTTTTCACAGCATTGCCAGGGGTGGTGATGGACGTTCGCTCTGCTTTCAAAGTCTATCAAGAGCAGGAATATCGCGATAGCCACCTGTCCCTTCTCATTGCACCCACTGCTTCTGTTTAGTCACAAAGGCTAGTCCGTGTTCGACGTCCCTTCAGCTTGTTGGTCGGTTCCCATCGACACTCTACTGTTCTATCCTGTAGCGCTGGGAGCTATTGTATATATAGTCTGGGTTGCATTTCTTTCTGCCCTTCGGTACAGTTCTTTGTCTCCCATTTGTCCGCTGCCAAATGCGGCGGAACTGGGCAGGAGGCTGCGGGAACGTCATGCGGCACAGTTCTGGTCACAACACAACGACCAATGGCAGGCACTTACCGCCACTTATGTTCCTTGCGCGTTCAAGACACAGCTATTCCCGCAGATTAAGTTGTATGCAAGGGCCAAAAGCGCGGTTTGTGACGCGTTGGTACACCGGTATCGGTTAGAGAGATCGCCATCACCGACGCGTTGTGATTTCAATGGAGGTTCTCTACAAAGGCTGCTAAACTAGAGTGATATAACAGACTCGATCTCATATTAACTCCATCCTCACCCCAACCGTAAGCTGTGCATCATGGCAGGTCTTTTGACTGCTCGCCTTACTATCAAAACGGTATCGCCAGGACAATTCTTTCCGACGACATCTTCGAACGCTATAGTCACTTGGCCACCGCTCACGACTCCCTTTACGACTCCATCTCATTGCACCAATGAATGGACAATCCTTACCTCAGGTGACACGACTGTCGGGAATGTGCCACCCAGCAACTGTTTACCTGGCGGAAGCTATACGCACAGTCCGGGTACAGTGCTCAGTGACTACCACATCGTTGACGTAGCTGAGTATAGAACACCGGGGTGGACAGCAGGCGGACTTCGCGCATGGGGTGCCGCCTGTTGTAAAAAGTACGTCGTACCATGAACCTAGGGCACGGCTATATACAAAAGAGTCATGACTTGAGCAAAGCGCACTTTTACTAACACCGATGGCAGTGGTTGGACGAACACAGAAACCATCGAGGGCTCCTTTTACTGCTTTTCATCGTTCATCACACCCATCACCGCATTGGACCCCTGGGCCGGAACTGGCCGTGAGCATAGAACCACCACTACCGTACTCAGCCGGGGAGAAATAGTAGATAGGAACATGCTTATCTACTGGATGGAGTCCGACTTGTCCAAATTCGATGCCGACTACGCGGCGACGTTGGAAGAGAGGTTTGCCATCGGCATGAGCGCAGAACCCGCAACTGTTATTGCAGAAAGCACGTCATCTGATTCATCTTTTACGTCGACTGCAACAATGGCCGTTACAAAAGACACGGCAGCACCGTCAGCTCGAACCCAATTCACCTCGGTAACATTAACAACGTCGTCATTATCGGTGGCACCAAACTCCAAAGAAAAGGCCGATAACTCCGATTTTGGGCTCAACGCTCGCGCTAAGGCTGGCATAGGCTTAGGAATTGCCATCGCGGTAATACTGATGGGTATCGCTGGATTTGTAATGTACAGGAAAAAAGTCTTGAAGCAACGGGCCATTGATCAAAAGTTCGCTAAACAAAATGAGCAGCCAGAGTGGGTGCAGAAGCAGAGGGCTTAGCCGACAGAATGGATGCGGTACGCTCCCTCTACTGGGAAGCCTTCGGATTTACGATTTGCTATAGGCCGATTGTGTTAGAGATGCTTAGAAGAAAGAGGATGAAAGATTGGTGCTGAGTCCATGTGCACCCCGTACAGGAAAAGGCTCAATAGGCCTGCAGACTACATCAAGATGGAATGATGCAGATTGTGTGACCTAACGTTGATATAGGCTTCCCAGGGTCTTCAGGTTTATCCTGGGTTGACATGCATGGGTGGAGGAAGCTTGTATAATGATGGTGGACATTCTCTCTGCAACGCGTACGCAACACGTATCTACTCTCGATGTATTGCTTGCTAAAATCGTAGTGCACAGCAAGGATTGCGCTTTTCAGGCACGCAAGCGATACCGTATCCCGTAACATTGGCCAATGCCGCATGGAGTAGATCCCTGTGTGCTTTCCCGCCCTTTGCCAATCGCCGTCGACCTATTAGAGCCCAGCAATATCGAACGTACAGTTCCTGGACAAAGACGTGGCACGTCCCTCAACGCCCTCAATCCTGCACACATGTGGCACAGCTCCCTTCACAAATCAGATGCGGCTCATCGAGCCACCACGCATAGGGTAGCGGCGCGCTCTTTTACGCATTTGGAACGTCGCCACCGACCCGTTATGAGCAATGTATCCAGCCCTGGCAAATACTTGACGTGGGCTTATTACAATGTTTCTACGTCCATCCGGGAACTGTTGTCCACACAGTTGCTATCATGTCATCAAACATCGATGATGCTTCTCTTGCCATCTATACAGTATCAGGAGACCAATATCCGCTAGTAAACACATTCAGTACTGTCCCGCCGCTCACCACTCCCTTCACTTTCAAACCGACATGTACCGAAGGCACGAAGTTTCAGGACCCGGGTCAACCCAGCCGTGTCCACAACTTCATTCCCCTCTACTGTCAACCCGATACCACCATGACGCATAGCCCGGGCTCATGTGTTAGGGGCTATCAGATAAAGCAGATAGTCGAGTTCCGAACGCCGGATTGGACGTTGGGCGGATTAAGGGCATGGGGAGCTGCTTGTTGTAGAGAGTACGTGTGATCTTTTGGCTGTCGAGGCGATTACCTCGGATATACACCTGGCCTGGCCTTGACTGGGATTGCTCTTGCTAACACCCTCGATAGTGATTACATGGCAACGGCATCTGACGCAACAGAGTGTGTATCAGCCATAGATACGCCCATCACCGCGTATACCGTGGCAGACGCGACCTTGCCAACGAATGCCGCTGGGCAAGAAATACCCGAGAAACCCTCCATCATCTCCAGCGGCACGGTCATCATGCAACCGATGTTAGTCTACTGGCAAGAGTCAGATCTTGTTCACTTCGATTCCGACTACGCGTCTACACTGGCCTCGAAATTCGATATCGGTTTTACACCAACAGCAACAGTGGGTCCGGCAACAGAAAGACCAAGACTCACGACAGGATCACCGCAATCAGATCCCACAAAAGGAACAGCATCACCGCTAGATCAAATACAAGTCCCCTCTGGGACGTCATCACGACCTGCAACAACCTCTGAAGCAGCTCCCGCGCCCCCAAAACCCGGCCTCAGTACAGGCGCCAAAGCAGGCATAGGATCAGCCGCAGTTGTTGCAGCGATATTACTATTGGTCGCCATTGGATTTCTACTATATAAGAGATGGCTCCATAACAAGGCAGGACTAGACGGGAAAGCTGCTGAATTGAATGAACAGCCGGAGTTTCTGGACGCGGATCTGGTGCGTTGGAGAAGAGACAAGGGAACGGGGTTGTGAGCGCGGTTGATATATATATGTACGGACGATGTCCCAGAAGAGAAAGGAGAAAAGCGCCTTTAGCTCAAATATGCGGAAGTAGGTCGGTGGGGCTTCGCGAGGCGGTTTGAGATGGGGATGTAACGACATACAGGCGCACATAAATGATCCCGCTTCTAGTCGCATCTCGCGCATTTCGGGATATGACCATAATGATAGATTGTTACAGAAAGTTGCGCCTTGATTTTTGTCTTCCTTCATGTCTGGTCGGAACGTAGTTGCGTCATGTGATCGGGAGCCATGCCAACGTCCGCCTTGATATCAAAGCAACGTAGCTCACCAACCACGTCACCAGGCCCATCGAACCATGCTTGCACCCACGTGAGAACATGAAAGGCGTCGAATAGCGTGGCATGCATCACCCGCAGACGTTTAGCGCGCTGATCTCCCGTCGCAGCATGCGCATCTCCTGATTGGCTACTTTGATCCTACGCATTCGGCATTCTCATTTGCATAGACGTGAACCACAACAGGCGTCATGCTCTTCTCGCTGACCATTGTCGTGTTGAAGGTGCTGACTCTGCTCACTATTCGGTGATATCGTCTACGTCATCACACGCCTAAACTAAACCGGATTGAGCGCACTACGAGACACCTTCTGAAAGCGCGAACGACATGGGCTGGAAGCCGTGGAAGCCGCGCTACGTAGCTTCAAAACACGGCAATTTGAAGACAACCGCTTCATTTCCATAGCAGAGAAGCTTCCCCTACCCTTACGGCACAGCTGCCTTTCTTGTGATTTTCAGCTGCCCACCATGAACTACATCTCAAGTACAGCTCCCCTACTACCACAATCCCACCACCCCAAGCTAACAACCCAGACCTCGTAAACTCGGACGACATCATCAACCCCCTCATCGACAATGGATATCTCCCCCACCCGGTCATTCGCGTCGGCATCCGGCGCCAACTCGCCGACCGCCTCACGTCTATCGCCAACACATCCCTCCAGGCGAGCTATGAGTCCAAGATGAAATACGTGGAGCTACTCCGCGAACGACCCATTGCCATCGAGACCAAGACCGCGAATGAGCAGCATTATGAAGTCGGAACGAGTGTGCTGAAGGGCATGCTGGGCCCGCGGATGAAGTACTCGGCGTGTTTGTATGAGAAAGGTGGGGAGACGTTGGGGGAGGCGGAGGTCAGGATGATGGAAACGTATGTGCAGAGAGCGGGGTTGAAGGATGGAATGACGGTTTTGGATTTAGGGTGAGTTCTCGTCCTTTTCGTTCTTTTCATCCTCTCCTTCATGATTTCGATCATTTCCGCACTAGATCTCGAAGACGGCATAATACGAACACGAGATATCACGTGCCCCACTAACACCCCCATTCACAGTTGCGGCTGGGGCTCCCTCTCCCTCTACCTCGCCGAAATCTTCCCCAACAGCCGCATAACCGGCTTCTCCAACTCGCGCACACAGAAACAACACATCGACTCCGTCGCCGCCTCCAAAGGCTTCAAGAACCTCACTGTCGTAACCGGCGACGTGGTAGACCATGAATTCGACCCCGAAGTCTACGACCGCGTCCTCTCCATCGAGCTATTCGAGCACATGAAGAACTATTCTTTGTTGATGGCCAAAGTAAGCCGGGCCTTGAAACCAGGCGGCAAACTCTTCGTGCACATCTTCGCGCACAAGGACACGCCCTACGATTTCGAAGGCGGGTGGATGACGGAGCACTTCTTCACGGGAGGTACCATGCCTTCTGCCGACCTCCTTCTCTTCTTCCAAGACGACCTCAAGATTAAGAGACAGTGGTGGGTTAGCGGTATGCACTACAGCAAGACGTGTGAGGATTGGTTGACGACTATGTTGAGCAACAAAGAGAGTATTTGGAAGGGGCTTGTGGAGACGTATGGGGAGGAGGGCGCGTTGACGTGGTGGAATAGGTGGCAGGTTTTCTATCTTGCTTGTTCGGAGTTGTTTAGGTGGGATGGGGGTGATACGTGGGGGGTTAGTCATTATTTGTTTGAGAAGAAGGAGTAGGTTGGTGGTGCAGGGGAGATGGGGAGGGGGTTGGGGAGGATGGTAGGAGGGTAATGCTTAATTCCACTCTGATAACAGCTTAGTCGATCCCTTGTTGTAATCTGATAATCATCCCTAGGGGTTCTAGTCTCCTGCCGCCTTCTACACAGGAACATGTCGGTCCAGAGAGCTGGCATTTCGATGGCTTTCTTACGGCAATGTAGTACACATATTCGTAGCCTCCTCACTCCATCTGGCTGGCATCTTGGATCAAGACATGGCTGCATATCGTGCAGCCTACATCTAAATCAGCAAACTTACATATTGCAAGGAGAAAGATAAGTGGAAGATAGTCGCTCTGGAAAGAAGGGAAATGGTGTTATAAACTTGGGAACGAAGCTAGGTGACGGTGAGGTTCAAGAGGGAGAAGCCCAAGTCTTTGTTCCCAGGGATGTCAGCATGTATGTACATTGGAGTCTGAGTCTGACTAACTTAACAATGTGGCGCCCTTGAGTGCCGTATCTTTATTCACCGGTAGGCACGCTTTCATCTTGCCCTCCCAGTCTCACACTTCTGAGGAGAACTGATACATCACTACAGCGCGGCTCTAACATTGCCCTCCCTCTCAACCTGCTCCTGATCCATAATGATTACACCCTTCCCCTTCATTGTCCCGCCATGCGCCAACTCCACCAACTTCGCAATCCCAGCCAGCCCTTGGAACGCACACGTCTCCACCGTAATCTCATGCTCAGCAACCAACTCCAACATACGTCTTGCCTCCTCCAGGTTCGCAACCGCCGACCCCCTAACCCTAATATCCCTCAAGATAAGTTCATGGAACGGAATAACCACACCATCCGGCTGCGCAAGCTGAACCATCGTCCCATGCATCTTCGTAACCGCACAAGCCAATGCAGCCGCCTCCTTCGCATCGCTAACGTTCAGGGTAGCTTCGACCCCCTCATCCCCTGTGCAAGCGTGCACGGTCTTTACAACCTCTTCCAGCCCCGTCCTCGCATCAATAGTAACATCCGCACCGCACAACCGTGTAAGTTCCAACCCCTCATCCCTCGCATCAATCCCAACGACATTCAATCCCATGGCTTTCGCAAACTTCACTCCGAGATGGCCCAAGCCGCCTCCACTACCTACGATGGCAATCCACTCCCCTTTCCGTACAGCCGACAAAACAATCCCGCGATAAACAGTCACGCCCGCACAAGCCAGCGGCGCCGCAGTAAGAAACGAAACTTTACTCGGTACCTTTGCCGTTTGTCGCACATCGATCTTCGCGTACTGAGCGAAGAATCCATGGGTCGTTATACCAAGGAAACCACCAGTGTTCTGGCAGTACTGAGGAGATGGAGATGCGTGGGGTCCTCCTGTACACTCAGCGCATGTACCGCAGGCGTCATACAAGATCCCGGCCATCACGCGGTCGCCGACTGCGAACTGCGTTACAGACGTACCAGTCGCTACGACGGTGCCTGCGCCCTCGTGGGAGCCGGTGCAGGGAAGTGGTGTGCCCATTGCGCCTGAAGAGACCATGAAGTCTGTGTGACAGAGGGAGGCGACGGCGACTTTGACGAGGAGGTCGTGCGGTGCGAGGTCTGATGGAACGGGTATTTCGTGGACCTTGTAGGGTTTGTTGAAGGAGATGACTTGTGCGGCCCACATTTTGAATGGGAGGGAGGGCTTCGTCATGGTGTTTGTAGATTCTCTATTCCGGGGAATCTGGGCCTGGCAGCTTGATTTGAAGGTTGGCTTGCTTGGTGGCGATTAGCTTTATGGGCGATCAGTTGTAACAAAATAGGTGTAGGATCAATCGATGTGTGGTTACGCAGTTCAGAGGCTAAGATGTGATGTTGTTGGAGACCTCGGGAGGGGTAAGTGGTGATGGCGTATATCTTTACCCGGCGCATTCTGTCTAGCAAGTGCTACCTAGGTATCTAGTACATGTGTAGAACGACAGAAAGTACGAGATCACAACCAGAGACGTCATGGGATGTACCAGCAATGTAAAACCAACTTCGACTTCAAATTGTACACAAACGCGATTATACTACAAGTCTATGAATTACCGAATCAACCCAAAACCCTACCAGCAGTAGAAGCCGTGCTGCGGTCCTTAGTCTCCACCTTCCTCAATCCCTTACCCGCAGTGATCTCACCAAGTAAAGCTCCACGGTTCGGCGCTCCACCCGGGGCCTTCATGCTTGGCATTGGGGGTGGCGGTGGAGCTCCACCAGCCGGGGGTGGCGGCGGGCCAGGTGGAGGCGGAGGTGCACCGTTTGAAGGCATCGGCGGGGGTGGGGGGATGCCTGCTGGAGGCGATGTCACAGCTGGGCTCTCGGCACGTGGGCTCTTGTTGTCCATGGAGGAGAGAGGGCGTGGTGGTGCCATGGTGCCGAATAGCATGGAGGCCAGCTGCTTGGCTCCACCTTGAGTAGGCGCTTCGTCGTCGTCGGACGAATCGTCGTCTGAGTCGACGACGGACCAGTCATCGTCGTCTTGCCTTCCCAACCTGCGGGCTGAAGGTGCAGCGGGCTCATTGAACGTAGGCATCGCAGCCTTGTTGGCATTCTCTTGTGTCAGACGGTGGAAGGGGTTCGTGGAAACCTCGCTCGTGTTGCTGGGTGGGGGCGGAGGTGTGGAGACGGTGCTGTTCTCCTGGTTGGACATGGCCATCTTCTTCAAGAACGGGTTCTTGGTTTCAGTGTCGCCCATGCCAGGGTGAGGACTAGTCACCGAGGACGTAGGCGGGCTGGCGATAGATGAGGGTGGTGTGTTGTGCGAGATCTGGGGCATTGGTGGCGCTTGAGGAGGTGCTGTGTCACGCGGTAACTCCTGGCTGGCGGTAGGGGTAGTATCTTGAGGCGTGATGTTTTGAGGGCCATCATCATCCGACGACTCGTCATCGTCGAGCGCCTCGAGCTGCATCTGTAGCTGACGTTCGCGTTCACGAGCAGCTTCGATCTCCGCACGCTGAGCAGCCAGTCGGGACTCCTTCTCTTTGGCGTCTTTGGAAGCGGCCGCTCTGCGTTTCTTCTCTTCGGCCTTCTTGAGTTTACCCTGCTGGACTTGCTCTTCCAGGGCGCGAAGTCTGGCTGAAGCAGACTCTCGCTCCTTGGCCAATTCGTCCTCTTGTCTGCGTTCCTCATCCCTGATGTTTGTTAGCGCAATTTAAGAATATAAATCGAGGTATACGTACTCCATGCGCTTGGTCTCGGCTTCTTGGGCCTCCTGCTGTTCGCGGATAGCCTTCTCAGCCATGTCGTTGTCTGCCTTCTTCGACTCTGCTTCCGCTTGCTGAACGTCGTGCTGCGCAATCTCGTTCTTGTTCTTGCGCGAAGCTGGCGGTGGGGGCGCTGGCTTCTTACCACTGCTCTTGGATGGAGCGGGCGGTGCTGCAGATTCGTCGTTGAGACGTCTTTGACGCTCTTCCTCGCGACGCGCATCCTCCTCTTCAGCCTGGCGTAGCTTCTCTTCACGTTCCTTCTTCTCACGGTCGGCACGCTGTTGGGGTGTCTCGCCAGCCTTTACTGGAGCTTTAATGCCCAGAGCAGCAAGACGCTCGGCCATTCGCTGCTCAGCCTGCTGTTTGATGAAGGCCGCACGCTCCTCTGGAGTCTTGTATGCCGAGTACGAGCCACCGGCGGGCGTAGTCGTTGATGCGCGAGGAGGAGGCTCGACACGACCAGCAGGACTCTCATAGCGTGATGACGATGGTCGGTTGTCCTCTACACGAGCAGCTGATCTAGACCTGTAGTTGTCGCGAGATGAACTGTACGAAATTAGTTTGATGCCTGCTGATAATTGTCAAATGGCACTTACTCGTCTTTGCGGATACGCGAAGCGCGACTGCTGCGTTGTAGATCAAAGATGAAGTCCTTAACGTCATCTTCAACGCCCAGAGCCTCTTCCCATCTACGACGTTCGTGTTCGCTTGTGTTGTCGTGTCCTCCTTCTTTCAGGCTCGACTCCAGACCCCTTGTGTATTCATTCACGCTGTCTTCGACGTCGCGGATCATGCGCTCATTGTTTTCTCTTTCTGCTCGGATGCGCGAAGTCTCCTTCTCCAAGCGCTCAGTCGCCGCTCCAGTGTCGTCACTGGCAGGAGCAGGCCTTCCTGTCAAGGCAGCAGAGCGTGCTTGCATCATAGCCTTGGCGCGGGCTTTCAAGCGATCAGATTCAGTTACGGCACCGCCAGGTCCAGTGCCCACGATGGTGGATGCAGATCCGGGATGCGCCTTGGCGTCTCTGAGTCTGAAGAGTTCGAGCTGGGCGTCTGCGATTTCACGCTCAGTTCGGCGCACGTTAGAAGCAAGTTCGGGCAGGCGATCAGTCAAGGTCTGGAGTTGGCGCTTCAGGGCACGGCGCTCCGCATCCGAATCAGACGATCTCAGTGAAGCTTTAGGGTGAGCATCAATGTCTTCTTGCACCCTGCGAATGCGGCGATAGAGATCTTCAGCCTCTCGTCGATCGCGACGATCGAGCGCATCATCCTCGTCAGCGGCGTTCTCGTCTTGTGTGTCCATGGCATCCAACAAGATTTGCTTCTCTTTGACAGACTTCCTGAGCTGGTCAAGGGACATTTCGTCAGATCGCTCAGAGGATGGTGAAGCCGGCTGCGCTGGTGAAGGCGAGCGACCACCACCTCCAAGGCGATGTCTGGCGCTCGACTTGTAGCCTACGTTATCGTCATTGTTACGAAATACCGTAGCATCCTTTCGGCCGCCAGCCTGTGGGCTACCAGCACGGAACGAGTGGGACTTCAGGTAGCTGACACCAGTGCGCTGGGGCTGAAGGAAAGCACCAGAGTTCTTCCTGTCCTCGGCATCTCCACGCAGCAAGTTCTTCATTGCGCCAATAGAGTCATTGATGTTGCGCGTAGAAGGGGGGACCAACTCCGGAGGCAGACGAGCAGGAATGGGATAGCCGTTGAGCTTACGGTAGATCAGATGCATAGCAACGGCGAACTGGTCCAAATCAAGACGACCCCTGTCAGCAGAGTCGGC